ATAGTATTAAGTATACTAGAAAGCTAAAAGACGTTATATTTATAGTTATATAGTAGAAAAAAAGCGTATAGCGTATTTAAAAGCTTAACTTTATAAGAGATAGTATTCTTAAATATTCTTAAAAGAATAAGAAAGTAGAAAAAAGTCTATAATATAGTCTATTTCTATAGTTATAATAGGTATATACGTAATTACTTAGTCTAAGTTAGCTAAATATTAATCTATTAAATAAGCCTACTTAATATACTTTAAGAAAAGAGGTATCTTTAAAGTAACTAGTAGAAGGTTATTTATCTATTATAAGGCTCTTTTATCTACTAAGCGCTTTATAATAGCTTTTATTAAAGTTTTAATTAAGTAAGTTACTAATTATAAACTAACTTATATACCTATTATATACTAACTAGAGAGCTAGATTCTATACCTAGACTAGTAGCTACAAAAATATAAGAATAGTGTAAGAGAAATAAAACATTTTAAAATATACTAATACCTAGTATAGAACTAGAGTTACTTAGATTAATGTTAACTAATAGTAATAAAAAGCTAGTAATTAAAGTAAACGCGTAATACTAAAAGAAGGTATAAACTATTATATTATAATAGTTCTAGGCTTTTCTATAAGTAGAGTGTAGGCTTTTAAAGTAGATAATACTTAGAAATATATTTTTATATAATATTATATAGTTTAGAGTAGTATATACTAATAGCTATTTATTACGTCTCTAGATCTAGAGTATAGCGTACGTAATAGCGATAATATAATAATCTATTCTATAAGTCTAGTAGCTAGCGTAGTAATTTTTTAAAATTAGTAAGTACTATAGAAATATTAGAATAGTAAAGTAAAGAGATAGAATAAGATTTAAGAAGTAAGAAGATTTTATAGAAGCTATAACTAGCGTATTAATCTAATAGAAGAGCTAGCTTATTCTAATTCTTATATAAGAAGTAGGCTTATAAAGATTATAAAGACTACTTTTAACTTCTATCTACGTTAATAGCACTAATATAGAAGTAATAGCTATTATTTAAAGAATTACTACGTAACTATATAAAGTCTTTAAGAATATTTTAATATACCTTATTAATTTTACTAGAGGCTAGTTTAGTTAATTACTACCTTACTACTTCTAGCTATACTACCTAACTTATATTACGTAATTTATCTTTAATAATAATTTACTAATTTTATTTAATACTATATAGCTTACGTAAAGCTAATAAAATCTCTATCTACTAGAATAGAAGAGTAGTAAGATACTTACGTTCTTATAAAGATAAAAATACTAATAATATATAAATTTTATTATATAGCGTTATAATTACTATAATCTTAGTATTTCTTTCTATTTTTTAATCTAGCTTTTAAACTTTAGCTATTAGTATTTATTATATAATAACTAGAGCGTTCTTTATATACTATAAACACTTTTTTAGTACTAAATTCTATAGTTATACTACTAAAGTCTTTTCTCTATTAAAGTCTCTATAGTAGTATTTATAACTATTATTATTTTAAGTTTAGTATTATTAGCTTTTAGCTCTAAAAGTGCTAGCTTAGATATAATTATATTAGAGTTAATATCTAATAAAGTTATTAGAGCTAGTATTTTAAAAGTTATAGCTATTATAGTATTATATAAAGAAAAGAAGAATATTACTAGTACGCTAGTAGCTTTATATACTATTATACTTAAAAATCTTTAACTTATTATATTTACTTAAAACTAAAAAATACTATTTTTAAAGTTACTAGTATTTTTTTTAACTAATAGTATCTCTCTAAATTATTAAAAGCCTTTATATATACTTATAGTACTATAGTAATATACTAAATAGTACTTTAGTAAATAATATTAAAGCTATTATAATTATACTATATACTAAAGTATAATCTTAAAGACTAAGCCTAACTTAGAACTAGACTGCAGTCTAAGTTAAAGGCGCACTCTATTCTTTTAGGATCGCTGCGCCTGGGAGGCCTGAGGTTGAGGACGGAGACAAGGCGAAGTGGGGAGGTTGGCCTGTGCGTAATTGGCCAGCTCCTCCAACAATGGCGTTCGCCGTTGTAGATCTCTTCGCTTCAGCCTGCACCCTTTTGTTTCGTTGCTATTCTGATAATTCAGTTCAACCAGTCAAGCCGATGGGAAAATCCTGACGTTTGACCAATCAGGTTATTTCCGCATGTTCGAAGGCTTCTAAACGGCAGCCTCCCGCTGCGCCTGCGCCAATGCTGTTCGCTTGAACTACGGTCGCTATATATCAGCCGCAGGCACACGCCAAAGCTCACAGCAGTGATGCGCAAACCACTTGCGAGATCAGCGGACGCTAATACGGTGCACCGAACGGATGGAGTGAGATCACAGTGTCGTTGAGGGCTAATTCGTGTTCGAGCACAACCTTGAAGACATGTCTTCAGTTGGCAAATGGTCAGAGTCCTGGCAAGTCATCGAATATCGACCAGCATGGGGGAAAACGTAATCTACATGCTCTGTTGCTTGGCACTGTTTGGTGGACACCTGTGGTATGGCGTCCGGAGCAAGACCTGGTCGTGCACGGGTACCTAGGTACCATGTGCGCTGACGTCCTCGGAGAGGCAGTGGGGTACATCGGCCGCGTCATGCTCAACCTGAACTCTTTCAGCATGAACTTCTTCCTTGTATAGGCTACCCCGTCCGTATATCGCGTCTATGTCTAACGGAATCCAGTAACCGCATTGCGCTTACCACATCACCTGCTCTCCTGACCGCCAGCATCTATCTCTCGTTCTGACGCATCGTCGTAGTCGTCGGAGCCGATTATTCGAGGTTAGAACACGATGTTTACCCGTTCGTCTTCGTCGGCTGCGATATGCTCGCTCTTGTCCTATGGACTATTGGTGGTGGCATGGCCGCAACTGCAGGAGAGAAGGACAGCTCACGAACGGGAGTCAATATCATGATTGCTGGTCTGATGTCCCAAGTTATCACCATGACTCTTTTCCTGGCTCTTTGGGGCGAATTTCCTCTCCGTGTGCGGCATGCGAAGATCTCAAGCAGCTTGTCATGCACCCAGCCACCATTGTACATCCACCTTCGTTCGACAAGGAACTCGATCTGTTCCCAGTGGAATCTCCTTGTTGCAACTGTGCCCATCTATGTGCGCTGCATATATCGTGTCGCTGAGCTTTGGACCGGTTTCGGCGGAGCTCTGATTGATCACGAAGCCACATTCATGGTTTTCGAAGGGCCAATGATAGTCCTTGCAGTTGCTGCACTGACAGTGTTTCATCCTGGTCGAGTATTTTCAGACCTCTGGATACCTGCTGATAAGGGCGTTATGTCGATGGGAAAGCTTACTCATGATAATGCCAGCACAGACCATCTTGCTGAACAAGAGTGGAACAATACGGCGTACCAGCGTGTCGAACAACCCGAAAATGTCGTTTGAAGCGGACCAAATACCTAGTACATTATGGGGATGTGGCTTTGCGTCGAGAAGCTGAAGACGGAATGACAGTCACGTCCCGTGGCAGCCCTTGTGGCGCTGTAGTAGGACTTTGCGTATCATCAGTTTCCGTCAAATTCCATGCTTTTCTCAACAAATGCACTGTTCATCGAAGTCACTTTTCCTTATACGGTTTCGGTTTAGCGTTTCACAATTGACTCGGCCCCTGCGCAGATATACCTATTAGATGTATAAGAGTTGCCTGGACCTTGAGATCCCTGGGGCCGCAGCTGGAAATGCCTGTAACTAAATCGTGGCTGTGTAGACTTGATCCTGTGACAAGTGCATCTAGCGGTCAACCTGGTGAAAGGACTTCGATGTCGGTCGTCGTTTTGAGAGCTAGCAGAGGTATCCATGAACCTTGAGCGGATCACGCCTGCCTCATAATGATCGACAAGTTCGCGATCGTTGTAAAGGCAGGAAGCGGACAGACGGGTTGGTATCAAGCCAGCTACGTAAGAACGAGAGGTCGATGCTTGCCGCTCAGACCCTCGAGGAGCGGATGCCCCCGACAGGCCGTTCTTCGGCATCCGAGGCTCTGCGCATGTACTTTGAGTCGGAGAGCGATTGTCTCGCTCGGGCCCTGAGGAGGATGTCGGTGGTGCGGAGAGCAGTGTGCACCGACGTTGCAGAAGCGGCGCGCCGATGGCATGGTCTTTGGGTGAAATCCCGATTGAAGGGAAACTCAAGCTGGGGATGTGGCTGAGTGATCCTCACCGTCGTCGCTAAAGTATGCACCTTTCCTCTTTCGGCTGGCTCGCCGGCTTTCACCCTTTCTTTCAAGCTCGCCCTTCCTGTACCTCGCCAACAACAATGACCGAGACTCGCCAACCGTAGCCGTTCCCGGCGAGAGACGACTCAAGTCCATAAACGTTCTTCTCGCTATCGCGAACAATTCCTTGTCGACATGCGCCGTGCCATGTGCTCCATGCGTCTCCAAGCGCTGTGCCGCACGTCTGCGCTGAATAGCCCCATCCTTCCAGCCTTACGGGTACTACGCCCAGGTGGTGGCGCGCCTTCTCCTGTCAGCGTTTGGGAAACTGGAAGTCAACATGTTGTTTCATGACCACATCCGTTCCATCTCGCCAAATTCGCGCTAGCTAACGTTGTGGTGACCTAAATCGGGGACTTACACGGCCTCATCTGCAGCCCAGCCTGCATGAAGTCAGCCTCTTGATGTGCATTTTCATCATGGCGAGCAAGGCGGAGCCTCACCTGCGTGCACCGTATGCTTGCAGAGTTTCAGACGCGATGCTGGACAAGGTACCGTGCCTCTGGCGCTTCTGTCTCTTGTTTATGCTTCACCTGCCCTTGTCCATTTACTTCAGTGTAGGCCCATTGTTCAGTACATATTTTCTCTCTGGGCCAAACGCGATATACCAATCCTCGGTGGAGCCCAGCCCGCAACACCCGTCTGGTACGGTTGTAATTATCTTTCCAGAGTCACGGCACACATATTTAACACATACTACGTACTGTTACCGACGCGATCGACCGTGCAGCGCATCACTATGGACGCAGACAGACGGCTCGCCAAAGCTCTCGAGGCCGCCAACGACGCTCTCCAACATCTTTCAATAACCGCGGACTTCGGAAGTCTAGACTGCACACATATCGACCGACTCCTTGGGCGGGTAGTCGACCTACCAACCGAGGGAAACCAAAGGAACAGCAGGCGGAATTTGCTTGTCATCCGACAGTGGATGATTAGTGAAGGCCCCGGCGTTGTGCTTCTCGAAGTCCTGGGTCAATTATATTGGCGGTTGGGCGAGCTCAATAGCAACCAGTTCGAAAAGTTCAAAGCAGCACTTCAGCAACGACAGCCATACGTTACTTTGGTGAAAGACGCGAACGCAGTAGCGCTGGTGATTCAGCGCATCCGATACATTCAGAGATCAAAGGCGGACGCTTGTCAAGACTTTCTGTCCGAGTTGTCGGATCTTATCGGCGCTAAAGGTATGCATTTCACCGTGAAAGTATCAAACGTAGCTTGCTAATCTGAGCAGTCGATTCACCAATGCTAACTGTAGAAGCTTTACAGATATGCTCACGTAGTCCGACGCGATCTGTCCGTTCTCGTGACAGCATATCTTCACAGGAGACAGGACCCGCAAGTCTCATCAAGTATTTCCCACTCAGCACGGTCCCCGCTGCCGCAGATATGGAAAACTTCCTCATCGACTTCTATGTCAGGGGCATCTGCCCGGGTCGCACCGTTGCATCGCAGACGAATGTGTACACGTCGTTATTACAGGTTGCGGATACTTGCTTAAGCACACGCTACGCTATCCTCAGTCTCTCAGCATCATACCTCTGCGAACAGATGCCGAAAGACAAGGATACCTATCACCAAGCGGAACTGTATTACTCGACGCAAGCACTTCAAGCTCTAGCATCACAAATCAGCGATGGTCATCACTATAACGGTGCCCTGGCTACTAGCATGCTACTGATGCACCACGGCCTGATCAATCAAGACGACTCCCTAATGTGCTGGTCATGTCACGCTAATGTGCTCGATGCGTTTCCCCCGGAAGCAATCACCCACAACTCTGACACCGTCATGTTCTTGCACGCTCAGCTCATCTTGGCACGTACCGCACGAACTTCTCACCAGTTAAGCAACACTCGGCAGCATGCGTTCGAGACCACGAATTGGTTGGATAGTATATCGCCAAGCGAATCTTCCAGGGCTTCGACTACTCTGGGAGTCTCACCTCAGTTGCTCTTCCTCATTTCATCCATAACATCACTTCCGACGGGCCCATACAGACTAAACAAACTTATGTACGCCCAAGCACAAGAGAAACAGCTTCAAGATCTAAAGCAGTGGAGTTCAGAGCCAGATGGGCCAGAGAAAGAAATCCTACTCGCCACAGCAGAAGCCTTTCGCCTCGCCGCGCTCATCTACCTGCGCTGTCGCGTCTACGGGTAAGCATCTTATATAGTCTAAAGCTTTCACATTTTGACATGTCTCCAGGTTCACAAGATTCCACTCCTCCATCCTCGAGCTCTCCGACGCACTCCATACTCTCCTCCTTTCGCTACCAGTGAAAGGTCCACTATACACCGCCATCTACCCCGTCTGGCCCTTCTTTATCGCTGCAGTCACTGCAAACTCAGACAAGCGCGACCGCCTATACCAGCGCGTCGTACCGATACGAGAAGGCGACAAGAACACACTCCCACCCGTGCTCAGACGTATCAGTGGTATGCGCACCTGGCTTGCAAACCAGGACACGTCATGCCAGCGCGACGACGGCTGGTGGGACGAAATGCTTAGTCCCAAGTCTAGCACCATAGCATTGAGCCCGCATCTGCTGTGCTTGGGTTGACCAGCTGCCAAACCTGCCGCAACCAGTTCGTCGCACTTTCCCAAGTCTCTAAAGCTACCGTTTCTTCCATTTTAGAAATCGCTGTCAAGATCTCATCTCTTTCTGATTTCTTACGTCATATATTCTAATCGGATGCATCTTAGCGAGTCATCATCCTCCTGTCATTTCGGCACATCTCTGGCATTTCTGCAAGCATACCATCATCGATCACTCAACGTCGAGTCACCCTACAGCGTCTAGATCTCAATTCAATCAGTATTCGCAGAAGAAGTCTCTTCTCTTTCCTGCACCTTGCAGTTTCTCTTCCCCGATTGCCCACACAGCGCTCTGGCTCCATAGAAAGAAGAGCACAAATCCCTTTTCCTCCGCGCCCCGTCTCTGTCACCAATGCTCCACTGTTGTATTAAGATGAATATATAAGTAAGTAGGTATTATTAAATAGGAGCCTAAGTCTAGTATAGCCCTCTACTAGTATTAAAAAGGTTGTAAAATAAGAGTGTGTAATATATCTTAAGCCTAGAGAAGCTTAGGCTAAGCTTTATAGCTTATTAGCACCTAATAATTACCTAGCGAGGCAGCTCTCCTTATAGTAATTAGGTAACAACAATGCCCTACGTACGACCGTGGGGCTCCACTATTGCAGACCCATATTCACCATCGCATCCTTCGACCAAACCGATACCATGAGTTTTAGCTGCGCGGATGCAGCAACACATTCATGTCAGAAGAAGATAGTCGCGTCCGAACGCAGTTGTAGTCCCAAAACACAATGCTGCTTATCTTGTCCTGACTGGTGCAGATATAGAGAGCCACCCTGGATATGCATTACCAGTTGTTAGATCTACTAGAGTCTGCTGTAACCTGCAAGAGCAATTCAATTTCGCTACTAAGGGACATTAGGTGGAGACGTTGATGAGGTGGGATCAGGTGTAGTGCTCATGGCACGTGACGAATGGTCAGCCATGTTGCAACATTGGTGGCCAGTCAAGCACAAAAGAGGAATAGCTCGCATTGAAGTTTTATGACATTGCCATTGAATCTATCGGTATCCACATGTACTCCCAAAGGATTTAATTACGAAGAGCCCTAGATATTGCGCCTGGATGCTTAAGATTGCCAGACCGTGTGATATCGCTACGCTGTGGAACATTGAAAAAGACAAACATGACAAGTTACCTGGCGCGCACGCATATCGGGCCCGAAGGGAAGGACTTGGTACTGTAGTTGAGCAATGGCCCTCACTCCTCCAGGTTCCATAATCTTTGAGCACCGTTTGTAGACTTTGGAGGCAGATGTATCACTCGTAGGGTGCTTGATTTGGCGCTCTGAAAGACGGACGAGAAGGCGAATAGCGGATGGGGTAGTTACATGGGATGTATAGAGGCAAATTCCGTAGCGACCAGAGGGTACAGATGACCAGACTGATATTGCCCAAGCGAATGACGCCTTCCTAGGTTTCGTGGTATGTCGTCGATCGTTCGGTAAGGACGGAAGCCGAGAAGTTTGGGTATAGCTGGGAAAATGTACATGAAAAGGGTATCGAAGTCCAGAAGCATGAAACAGCTCGCCATTACTCTTGTGGCTCTAACCGGAAGAACTCTTCATGCTGTAGTGGTGTGCCCAGTAGGGGTTTAGTGGCCGCCGTTCTTCCTGAAGTTAAGCAACTGAGATAGGCTCGCTAGGCTGCATCCGCTCTTGAGGAAGTCGTGGCTGATCAGCTCTCCGGCACTTGCTCGGGACTTTACGTCGACGCAAAGGCAGACCGACAAGAAAGCCTTGAGCTCCTTCGAGAGCTTGTCTGGCTTCTTGAGACGAGGAGTGCCATTGGTGGCAATGAGATACAAAGCCTTGAGCGGTTCCTCATTCAGGTACGGTGGTTCAGACTCGATCATCTCAATGGCCATGATACCCAAAGACCAGATATCGACCTTGTTGCCATACTCTTTTTGCTTGACGACTTCAGGGGCCATCCAGTATGGAGTTCCAACCATAGTCGCACGCTTGCTGCGCTGCTCGGTGAGCTTCGCACTGAAACCAAAGTCGGCTGTTAAAGGTTAGCAAGCTGTCGATGGAGGTTACGTGGCGGGTACATACTGATCTTGACATTGCCACGGCCATCGAGCAAGACATTGTCACTCTTGATGTCTCGGTGGATGATGTTCAAGTTATGAAGGTACTCAAGTCCCTTGCAGGTCTGATGATTGTCAGTGTAGATTCCCGAAAGTCCATGCTACATAGCTTACCTCGAAGCAAATCGTCGCGATCTGGTCTTCGCTAATGGAAGGGTTGTTGTCAATGATGTCGGTCAAAGCACCTCCCTCCATGAACTCCATGACGACCCAGAGCTCGGACTGCTCCTCTTGCAAGAACGCGTCCAAGAAGTTGACGATGTTGGGGTGTTTGCTGTCCTTCATGACGATAATCTCGTTTACGATAAGTTCTTTGCGTGGCTGGTTGCGGAGATCCATTTGCTTGATAGCGACCTGTGCACGTGGGCCATTTTCTTGCATAACCCTTCGGGCCATGGGCGAAGTGGCACCTTCACGGATGCGAGCAACATACACGGAACCACTAGCACCTTGACCAATCTTCTTTTGCTTGTTGTACGAGTCCAGTGGCCGTTCTTTGGATACGACCTCCCGGAGCTTCGCCATGACCTCGCCTTCGGACATGCTGGACATGCGCACATCCTTCCGTGCTGGCTCCTCCTTGGGCTTAGCAGTAAGGGCCTGCTCGGCCTTCTTCACTGCATCACTGACAGGAGCATTCTGAGGCTTAGCAACGTTCAACGGCTTGGGTGCAGCACCTGGCTGGTATTGCTTTTGCTGTTGGTTTTGACCATTAGCAACCCTGGGAACCTGGCCACTCGAATTCTTCGAGGCCATGGGTGGTCGTTGCTGAGTTGACTGCGCTTTGGAAGGAGATGTGCTGTAGCCACCATTCTGTTGCTGAGGTGCAGAAGGTGCTGGACGCTGTGCGACTGGCTGCCGCGGGGGCTGCTGCTGTGGGCCTCTTGCACCGGGAGTGGATGGCGCAGGGCGGCTGGGGTTGTACCTCTGGCCTGACGGGCTCTGATCTCGCGAGTAGCCGCCTCCGCCAATTTCTTGTTTCGCCGCAGGAGTAACCTTCTTTGGAATATCGTTCTCCCAATCAGCTTCAGCTTCAGCCTGCAGCCTTTGTTGGTGCTCGTACTCCTGCCTCTGCCGCTGGAGTTCGCGTTCGCGCTGTGCCCTGACCTGGTCCTCTTGCCTCCTCCTGTCCTGTTCGTAGCGATCTTGTTCGTAGCGATCTTGTTCGTAGCGATCTTGTTCGTAGCGGTTTTGTTGCTGCGAAGCCGAGTTTTGTTGACCGCCATAGCCTTGACTGTAGCTGTCTTTTCGCTGATAATTGCCAGGCGGTGCAGGGCGCGGAGGCGCAACAGAATTGCCGCTGCCACCGTATCCAAGCTGTTTCTCCATTCCAGCATTTGTTGGCGGGGTCGGAGTGAGACTCGGGTATTGCTGAGGGTCCTCGGAGCGCTTGACAAGCTTTTCGGTGTAGAACTCCAAAACTTCCAAAACAGCCTTGGGGTTCTTTGCATAGTCGTCCTTAGTCAGAGCGGATGCAGTGAGAAGCTTCTCCCATTCTACCGGCAGACCGACGAACGCTCCGCTGTTAGGATCGAAGCCTACGTGCACTCTGTGGGTGAAGTTGGTGGGGTTGCTGACACCGCCCATGCTGGGACAGCGCTGGTAGATGCTGTCGATCCACGAGTAGACGTCATCGTCAGTCTCGACCTTGCATGTAATGATCTTTGTAGGGCCATCGCGGGGCGGGGACGAGCCCTTGCTGGTGTTGGCAGCCTTGGTGATTTCAAAGGACAAAGGCTGCGTGTCTGATCGCTCCACGCCGAGGATGTCTCGCAGTTGAATCGTGGTTGATGCTTTGGAGGCATTAGGGCTCTTGAAAAAGTTCAGCTCGAATTCGCGCAGTACCAGCCACCGCTCGGCCCAAATCATACTTCTGAACACGTTTGCATCCTTGACCTTGACCATGCCCTCTTTGACTGTGGCCGTTGTCGAGACGCTTCTCTCGGACTGTGTGCGTACAAGCGACATTTGCGAGCCGTTGTTGAAAGCAGGCGACTGCATACTCCGGCCGACCATGTTGCCCGGCATGTTGGGGTTGGTGTCGGGGAAAAGGTTGGTCCTGGTGGATGATTGCGGTGCTTGGATGGGTGGTTTTGGTGCTGCACGGGTGTTCTCGAAATGTCCATTGGGATACATGCTGGAGCAATGTGGTCAGCGGCCGGTCTCGCGAGTGGCAGTCTGATTGAAACGGGGCAGGTGACGCTGCTGCCGTTTGGGGTTGAAAAGCGGTGTTTGGAGCAGCCAGACGACAGCTGAGGAAGGAGCGCCAGGGGACTCACATGGGCAGACTATCGTTGTAGCAACAACAGTCGAATTATACAATAGCTACAATAGCTTCGTGAGTCGTTCACTGCCTCTGGTGCGGCCAGGCAGTCGAGGGTGAGTGTGGTGAATAGCGGGGGACCCGTGCTCAATGGAGTGAGCAAGTAAGTGGCGGGGCGATGTTGAGCGAGGTTTGGGTCAACTCTCACTGAGACAGAGGGCGCTGGGGTGGTGTCGAGGACGCAGCGTCCGGAGATGGGGGTCGCGTCGAGTAAGCAGCAATGCGAGGGTCGGGCTGCAGCAGAGCGGGATACCAGTCCTGATCCTGAAAGCGAGCGGGCGCTGCTGCCAATCCAAATCGCAAAGCGTCGCGCCGAGTCGTCTTCAGCGAGGATGCCACATTCGAGAACTGCACAAGCAGGGTAAATAGGAGAAGCTGGCAGGCTGCGGGCGAGAGCGCAGTCGTGTCTGGTGCACGCAGTCGTGGTAGGGCCTGGAGTGGAACCCTTTCTCCTGGCACCATTGGCTTTGGGCACTGGCGCGCTAGCATCCGGCACGGAACTTTCTCTCACGTGCGCTCGACTCCTCTTCGGACGTCGAGCCTGAAAGGAACGCGATGTGCACTCATTGGCTGTTGCCACTCGCGAAGCGGATGACCACCAGCGGCATGAGTCTACTACAGACGTTTCATCAGCAGACAGGCGCGACAACGGCAGAGGGTCCGGCTTGATCGCCCGGCGGTTGCAAGTACACCATCTTGTTCAGCGTTTCAGAAGAAGGCAAATTGACGTCTGAAACCCTTCTGGCTGGCCGCCAAAACCTTCCACAGCCTCCACCGGTGCATATTTAGAAACCGTGCCGCTCGCGACGTCGGTGGCTGCTTGCCTGCTTGTGCAAAAGAAGGGTTCTCTACCAAACTACGGGATTTCACGTTGTGTCAAATGTCATTGATGTTCGTCTACATTTTTACAGTTCGCACTATGCATCCATTGCAGCTGCGCACATGGTCGCCATGTATATATGGGAAGGTATCGCGACGGCAACCACTATATATCATGTCCTATTGTTTCACGTCCCACGGCGCTCGATACACCGAGTACAAATCAGCATGTTTCAACCGTCTGTTGGATGATGCCCGCCTCCGACCCCACCATTACAGCCGCTATCCCTGTCGCGACACCCGGCGATGCACGTCATGACAACAGGGGCACATGTGCACAAAGTGAACAGTTTGCAGCAAAAGTCGAGCGCACTGAACCTGCCCGGGCATGTTGCGACCGCATTTCGATAGCTTTGGTTTACTCCGGAGATTACTCTATTCTACACCCCAAACGCCCAAAACGTCCCTGCCCGCGCCCTCCTGTTCCTTGTTCTTGCGCGCTTGGAGTGCTTTTACCCTGCGAACGGATAGTCCAACAGCCAGAGGACCCAGGATAGTGCACAGAACGATGGCCCAAGTCACGACAAGAAATATGTCGGTTGGCTCGCCTGAAGTCTCTCCAAAGACGCCCTGCGACTCGGCGACACCGGAAATTAGGAAGCCAATCTCTCCACGAGCGCACATTGCAAAGGCGAGGATCAGTGGCGGGTGCAGCGAAAAGGGCTTTGGTGGATTGGGCGAAGATCGGGCCTCGCTTTCGGTACTACTTGGTGAAGTTGTCGGGCGGGTTCGCGATGGGGTAGCTCTTGCCTGCGTTGAAGTGACTGCTTCTTGCGCGGGAGGTGCGCCGCCGCTCTTTCCCCACAGGTGAGGCACCGAAGGCAGGCGCACCTTGGACAAAAACCTGCCGGGTGCTTTCTTGCATGGAAATATGGAAACCCGGACGAGCCAGAGACCACACACAAGCTTTGCGAAGGTCATGAGAACAGCGTAGACGATGCCTCGCCAAACTATCGCGCCTCTGAACATTCGTGTGATGGGTATCGAGAAGCCGATTGATGCGAAGAAGAACGGCTGTAGGATCTTCGACACTGCGGGATGGTAGTACTGCTCGTAGATGGCTGCACCACCGGTCGCAACCATATGCTCTTCACTCTTCATGTTGGTGGGTCGAGACGGAATCGCTCCTCGATTTTGGTCTGCTGTGGTCTTTGACGCATCAGGAGACGAGCCTTCTGAGCTCCCAAGCATTGGACCGACAGTTGCCTGTCTTTTCTTATCTACTGCATTTGTAGCTGGAGTGCTTGTAGGATGGGGCACGTCAGAGTCCCACCAACTAATGCTAGCTCCCGCGATATATGCAGCGAACAGATTCGATGTGCCCGCATATGTAGCTCCCACGACAAGAGCAATGAGAACCAGCGTGTGGATCCCGAAGGCTGTTTGTGTTCGTTGTAGCAAGGCACTCAGATGTGCGCCTGGGTGAGCTTCGCGGTACGCATTGAGCCACGTGGTCAAAGGCTTGGCGACGAAGAGACAAACCAGAGGTGCGATAACCGCAAAAGCAATCGACACAAGGACTGGGCGAACAACCGTTACCCAGCTGAAGTTGTCGCCACCTAAGTTGGAGATGACTTGCACCATGACTAGTCCCACGACGTCGTCCATCATAGCGGCGCTTGTGAGAACAACGCCTAGGCGGGTGGTAGCCAAGCCACTCGACCCGAGAACCGTGAAGGCTGTGCCCAGGCTGGTGGAGCATAGGGCAGCGCCAGCGGCGAAAGCTTGTACTGGGCTAGCATCCAGTAAGCCTTGCAGAGTGTACGAAAGCCCGATAGGGACCAGAATTCCCGTGAGTGCGACGCCAGAAGATAGAAGCAGATTCGCCTTGAGAGATTGGAACGAAGTATAGAGCCCGCCTGGTGAGCGTTAGTCAATGCCACAGATATGGGTAGGGTTGGGTGATGCAGCGCATGTGGACCTTCATAGACAAGCAGTATCAATCCCAGATAGCCTAGTTGCACGACCGTCTCTTCTAAGCTCTCGGATAGCCACTTCGCACATGGCGTGCCCCATGCAATGCCAACCAAAACCTGGCCCAGCAGACCGCAGTACAGCACCCTGTCGAGAGCAGCATTGACGACGTTAAGGAGGAGGAGGAACGACGTGAGCACGAGAATGACAACGATGCCCGGCTCGTGATATGGCAGCGACGCGGCATCTTGAGACGCGTCTACAGCCATGATGCAGGCAAGAGCGATGAAGGACCACTATGGCGTGTGGCGCCTGCTGTTCCCGGCGGGGTGCAGCCACGAGGCAAGTGGATGCGAGCAGATAGATAGGCTAGATACACGCGCTACTCCAAGGGTATCTTGGACATTGTCTCTCGGTCTCAGCAAGCATTGGACGAAGAGACTGTAGACCAGATATCGCGTGTCGTCGCAGCCAGCCAACCAGAGGCGACTCGGGCGCCCAAGGCCGTGTGGATCCAGGGGCCCCGCTACTGGGACAGGGGTGCAGCGACAGCCGAAGCCGCGCCCGCAGTCAGCCATTCATTGTTTTGGGCCAGGACTCTGGAAAACACGCCCGAGTAGTCGCCAGCTAGCATCCCGTATCCACCCAAATATATTCCTACCTGCATGCGCCCAGTCCGAGTGAGAGGCCTGATGCACACTGATCATGGCGCCGCTTGAACAGCAATGGGTCAAGGTCCAGCAGAAGACATTCACCAAGTGGTACGCTGCAACCCCCGCCGCTGCCCCGGCCCCGACACTACTACTCACACCGCTGCAGGCTGAACAGCAAGCTCAAGATCCGCGAAGTCGAGATCAAGGACCTCATCATCGACCTCTCGGACGGTGTACGTGCCCCGCTTGGCCCCCAACATGGCCTCTCCCCGCATCACGTCCTAACGCCCCCTAGATCATACTCATACACCTCCTCGAGATCCTCAGCAACGAATCCCTCGGCCGCTATGCCTCCCGACCCAAGCTGCGCGTGCAGAAGTTTGAGAACGTCAACAAGTCGCTCGACTTCATCCGGAGTCGGAGGATCCAGCTTACCAATACCGGTGCCGAAGATGTCGTCGACGGCAACAGCAAGATCATCCTGGGTCTGATATGGACCCTCATTCTGCGCTTCACCATCAGCGACATCAACGAAGAGGGTCTCAGTGCCAAGGAGGGTCTGCTGCTGTGGTGTCAGCGGAAGACGGCCTGCTACGATGAGGTCGAAGTCCGTGACTTCTCCACGAGCTGGAACGACGGACTGGCATTGTAGGTGGAGCACTTTTTGGTGGGAGACTGGGCTAACAACAGACAGCTGCGCCCTGCTCGACATCCACCGTCCCGATCTCATCGATTACGACAGCCTAGACAAGAGCGATCACCGCGGCAACATGCAGCTTGCATTCGACATCGCCTCCAAAGAAATTGGCATCCCCGATCTGCTCGATGTGGAGGACGTGTGCGACGTCGCGAAGCCCGATGAGCGTTCGCTCATGACATACATCGCCTACTGGTTCCACGCCTTCTCGCAGATGGAGCGCGTGGAGAATGCTGGGCGGCGAGTCGAGAAGTTCGTCGCGAATATGCAGGGAGCCTGGCAGATGCAAAACGACTTCGAGCGACGCATGCGCGAGCTGCTGGACCAGATCGCCAAGCAGCGCACACAATGGGAGGAGGCCAAGTTCGACGGGACATACGCAGACGCTAGGAACCAGTCGACCGAGTTCACCGCCTGGAAGCGCAAGAGCAAGCGAACATGGGTAGCCGAGAAGTCAGACCTGGTGGGACTACTAGGGAACATAAGGACGAAGTTGGCCACATACCGGTTGCGACCGTACGATCCGCCCGCGGAGCTCAGCCTCGAAGCACTAGACACCGCCTGGACGGGATTGATGAAGGCCGAGAGACAGCGCTCCCAGGTCATCAACGAGACAATCAGAGACATCAAGAACGCTCTGCGGAAATCCTTCGCCGACAAAGCAAACGACTTTGCCCTGGCCCTCAACACACTCTCTACATCGATATCAGCGTTGGAAGGCGATGTTGAGGACCAGCTAGAGCACACAAAGGAGATCAGCAAGTCGCTGGCACCCCTGGACGAATACCTGAACCTCATAGCGTCCATCGACGAGCAATGCGCCGAAGCGAACATCGAGGAGAACGACTTCACAACATACACATACGACGAGCTAGAATACGAGCTGGGCTTGGTCCGCAGTTCGGTATCGAAGAAGCTTGCCTTCCTGGAAAACCAGATGGTGGCACGTAACATGACCAACCTCACCCCAATACAGCTTGAAGAGTTTGAATCAGTATTCAGGCATTTTGACCGCGATGTATCGAATTCGTTAGCAGAACTGGAGTTCTCTGCTGCATTGGCTAGTTTGGGCTTGGTATACGACGAAGAAGAAATGCACGAGAGATTCCGCGAAACTAGTGGTGGCAAAGACTACGTCACATTTGAGCAGTTTATCCGATTCATGGTGGACGAAACCGAGGATCAAAATACCGCGGAGCAAGTCTTTGAGTCTTTCAAGGAGGTCGCCGACGGCAAGGTCAGTCTATACCCACCTCTTTCCCTCATTTCTCCATGTGTCACCAGCTACTTACATCCCACCAGCCATACGTGACCGAACTCGACCTCCGCCACTCCCTCGTCCCCGACGAAGTCATCGACGACCTCCTCTCCACCATGCCCGAGCACAAAGGCCCAGATATGGCAGAAGACCGCGACATACCCAAATTCGACTACATCACATACATGCAGCGGTACATGGGCGCCGACCGCGCCAACGGCACCGCTCCCGAGCCGGAAGTCAACGGCGAGTAGAACACGACCGACCTCGAGCATAGGGTTCTTCTTACCCCGGCGTTTGTATAGCCAGCCGTCCGGGAACCAACACAAGAGTTTGGATAGGATAATAGCATGGATTGGATATTGAGATCGCTCAGCGGTGTATCGTTTGGTAGATTCTTCTTTTCTTATGGTTCTTTTGCATAGTCAGTGGCTGGTTTTGGAGTCATGAGTCCCGCTGTTAAGTTGGTTATTGAGGTGGTATACACGGCTAGGATGGAGGATATGGATGCAATTGGAATTGAATGGATTGGTTAGGCTCTTTGGAGTAAGGCGCCCGACTTGTTGCATGTTTGACGTTGATACCACGCAGATAGCTGAAGAATTATTGGAATTAGTCGTAATCATGAAGTTGGTTGCTGGGGATGTTTGAGGTGTTGGGATGAAGGGTGGGGCTGTTGTATGCTATGACAATTGCATGGAACCGGAGCCCTCGATCTTCTGCTGCTTCGCGTTTACCTCCTTTGACCACTCAGCAAAATGGACGCTATGTCCTGGTGTCGCCAGATCGCGATAGACGGCGAAATAAGGTGCGGCAATGTAGAGGTTGACATATTCTTGACGGTTCTCTTCCCTCATCCAGGCATCGTGAACCATAGCACCATAAGTACCCAAAGCCATCAACACCAGGTTCAGAAGATGATCCTCGGAAGCAGGAGGCGTGCAATACTTTTCTGTAAATATGCCAGTGCTAACAAGCATGTGCTTGAACTGAGCCAGCGTAGGCTGACCCGCCAATGCCTTGACCAATGCATTGTGAGCGAATTCCTGGAGATGTTTGACGTTCCAGTCATATGCTAGCTTGAAGATATCGAGGTGAACGTGAGCGAGGCACACATCAGAAGGAATAGCTCCAACGGAAGCGTCGGATGTAGGGTCCAAGTACATGAGCTTGTGGCGGTCGAGAGGAGTGATAATGCGGTAGGCCTTGTGGTGACGAAAGAAGTCCACCATGGCATCGATAGCGTACGCAGGCCAGTCTTCCATAACAAAGATCTGCTTCTATTTTCACACGTTAGAATCAATCCACTTGAAGTCGTGAGTGGACCCCTAAACCAGATGAACTCAAATACTTACATGCTTCTCAATCAGACCCCGCATGACGGGTGAGTAGGTGGCGGCGACCTGCGCATGGCACTTCCATAGGCTTCTGCCAGGACCAGCGATGGGAAATCTCTGTGGCAAGGACTTGGCCAAGTCGGCCAGGCAGCTATGCAAGTTAGTTTGCGATCGTGAACAGAATGAGAAACACATACGAGTTGGTGATTTCGTGATCCGAACGCAAGTCTGACTTGCTGATCTCTCTGTGGTATCCAAGTTTGGCTAGGACCTTGTGGAATCCGCCACGAATAAACGTCTTGATCTTCTGCGCCTCTGGACTGATAATATCCTCGTTGTCGACGTCTTCGCCTTTGCGCTTGGTCCCGCGGGCTTCGGTGGGCAGTGAAGTCGCCATTGTTAGTATCGGCAGTGCGCGCAGTTCCTTCGCAGGGTCAGTGAAGAGGCAAGGCAAAAGCGAGATAGTCAGAATTATCAAGGCAGGCGCCAAGATATATAAACATAGTGGGGCTCGGTGTGGAGGTGCGGGAGTGAGTGAGAGCAAACGCTCGGGTGCGCCTATCGTAAAGCGTTGCCAGGTGAACGTGGACAGCAAAGCCGTGTATGTAGCGGATGGCAATACATGTAGGTTGAAATTCTGTAAGACTCCATCGTTAGATTGCAGGCTTTGACAATGTTCCACCGGAAGGATGGCTGAGTCGTACGCAACACATCGAGCTCCATGTATTTTTGCTTCCCAACTTTCGCGCCTGTTCGATCCCGTGTACTAATGCTCTTTTTTGAACATGTGTTTCTTTACATTGCAGCAAGACAAGGCAAGCTAAACTACATTCTAAGACTATAACCGCGTTTTAAAGGCATCTATTCTGTGCTATAATTGCATTACTGCATTTGCGTAGCTAAGGCCTGTAGTATTAGTTTAGCTAGAGAATGCGATGCGGTATACTAGTCTAGGATACCTACGCTGACAAGATGTTATGACTAGAGAGATGACATGGATAAGAGAAGCAATGTCTTCACCAAGCACGAACCGAGAAAGAAGTGAGGTGTCCGCCTTTCGATCTAGTGTTTCTGCTCGATGGCATTGCGGTGTGGTTACAGTAGAGGACAGTCGCAGACTCATGACTTATTATGTCTGAGGGCTGTGTAAACGATCCGGAAAGTGAAATTCCAAGAAGTAAGAAAAGGGAGAGACAGAATCAAAAGACATTGATTGGATTGAGATCTAGGTAGAGGTGGTGGTTCGAGGCTGGGATAGAACGCTGGGGTGGTGTTGTTTTGGTCTCTTTTCGCGTCGGTGTGTAGGTGTAGGCGGAGTTAGAGGCAGAGTGAAGGTAAAGGCGAAGATAAGACGGCAAGAGCGTCCAACTTTGATTTATTCTGGAAAAGTAGAACGTTTCTAATAATAGTAGTATCTTCATCGCTCTCTTAAATTAGCGCTTGATCTCTTAATATCTTTCTTGTTCTACTGCCGCGCACAACTTGTGATTTGATGTCCACACTTACCTTCACCTCGAGTTCCTTGCGCGTCGCTGCCTAGCCTTCTGCGAGTGGGGTTAGCGTCAGTCTGTGCTTCCCAATCTGGCTACGAGCAGTTGCTCTGCTCCTACCAAAACCACTACTACCCGTGGTGGATGCAAGCACCTTGCGCCCCAATAAGATTCACTTCATTGCACTGCAACGAAACCACAAGGTAAAGTCTACAGAAAATTCACAATACTTCGAAGCTAATCCAGGACTTTGAAGCTCCACGGTCAAACATGACGAACGCGCAATCCCGACCCCTGGGATTCCTCGACTTGCCTGCTGAATTGCGACTGATGGTGTATGAGCTCCTGCCGAACCGTACCACTCGTACTCGATATGTGAAGCGCAGCAACGACGGAACAACTGAGAGCAGCTTCACCCTCATTAATCATGAACCGCCGACTGCCATTCTTACTACATGTAAGACTGTCCACAACGAAGCCGTAGCTGTCGTCCGCAAGACCGCACAGCAGCTTCTACCTGGAGGAGTGGTCGAGCAGCCTCCTTTTGTCACTGGCACTGCACCCAAGATCGAAACCGAAATCTCCGCTCTGCCTATTCTTGGTGCGCCGGAGGGAATCATCAAGGCAGCCCTCGCCTGGTGCTCTTGCATTCAAGCAACCTCGTCCAGCGACTTTGAAACCTTCTTGGCTTCTCGAGGCTACGATATGTCCTCTCTTCTGAGAGATTACGGATATTCCATGGACAATGGCACATTCGAAGAGGGAGTCTTTCGTCTACTCTACTTCATCCGCAAGGCTGGGTACGTGCTTCACCTTCGCCGCACCGACCCATCTTTGAGTGGCTTCGTTTTCCAGCACGGCTACCAAAACCTATTCGAAGCCCACCCGTCTCGCACTTTTCAAGTCGCCGTTGCGAAGGGCGCCGAAACCGAAGGCTACGATGAAGACCAGGAAGCGGTCACAGAGTTTGGTAGAGCGTTCGGCTTATGTGATCGCACACGCGACATTCGCATCAGGATCCACACCCTTACCTCCGCAGGAAAAAAGACTAGTGTATCGGTCCGTGCAGCTGAATCATTTGTCGAGCATCAGCTCCATAGTGGCCCTGAGCATGGGTCCGCTATTGCGATGGGTCGTTTTCTCTTCGACAAGTACTGTGAAGAAGATTACAACAGTTTCTGGGGCGAGGGCGAGTGGAAGTTCTGAGATCATGAAGATGTCACAGTGATAAGGCTGAAGAAGTGGCGTTTAACGCTCCAAGAGGCTTTACCCTACCCGGTAGTCAGTACTCTGATGTGTATGCTCAAAGGATTAGAAGTCAGTCATCGAAAAAACACTTTACGAAGAGAACGCTCTGGCGATCCATGAAACCGCAGTACAATCAATCGATTTCTACACCCCGTCGATCTAATCGTGACAACAATCTCCTTAATTAACCCCCAACAAATCCGGCAACTCAATCAACTCCCTCTGCATCTCGCTACACATATCCAAAAACTCCCTCTTCTCCATCTCCGTCGCAAACTCAATCTTCGCCCCGCTGATAACCTTCCCCTTGTCCACACTCTTCCCAGCCCCCACTTTCTCCTTACCTTTCCCTGTAACAGAAGCAGTGGCAGCTTCCGCAAAACTATCCTTCCTCATCGCGCGATCACCCCGATCAATCGGTACTCTCAGCCCTTTGATCTTGACCTCTCTGTCCCCACCGTCTTTCACTCTGATAGGGTTGACGGAGGAGTTGAGGTAGAAGGCTAAGTAGCCGTTTCGGAAGTCGGCGGAGAAATGGATTAGGGCGATGATGGCGCCTGTGTCGTTATCTTCCCAGACGCGGAGGTTTTCCAGGCCGCACATCTGTTCGGCGTAGGAGAAGGATTTTGAGAGGCCTTCGTGGATGCGCATTGTTTTCTCTGTGCGGAATGTCGCAAGGAGGGTGCGGCCCATTAGTTCGTTTTGGAAGAGTGCGGCCGCTGGGCATGCAGTTAGTCATCGTCTTCTTTCTTAGATGCTGTTTCAGTAGTCTACCTTGTGGTGAGTCGAAGACGTAGTTGACCCAGCTTGTCTTTTCTACACGCACTGGCCGATTTCCGTGCTTGACGTCGTGAAATATGAGCTCGCAGAGAACCGTGATGGAGGCTTTGGCTGGATTGAAGTAGCTGGAGTACGGTATGTACATCTGGTCGTCTTCCATACGTAGCTCCACGCGGGTGGTGTTGTCGTCGCTGAACGCCCATACGGATGTCACGACGCGCACTGCCTTCGTCTCAGGGTCGGTTATGCGTTTCCGTACTACGGCGATTCTGCACTCTTCGGAAGCCTGGATCATTTCGACGTCTCTGGGGTCGTCCTGGTTTATCCGGTGCGAGTATTCGACGAGCGAACCGCGACTATCTGTGGTCAGTATTGCTAAACACTGACACTAAGAAGAACGGACTAAGAGCAAAGTCGGCTTACACATCACATAGAATGGCGGAGTTTCGAAAGGCTTCCTTCTCGAAGGCGGCTTTTTGGCTGGTAGTGGTTGAACTTCTGTGAAGTTTCATAATCTCTGGTTGCAACGAAGGGTAAGGGCTTAACATGGCGTGCGATGTCTGAGTAGGTGTTCTTTCGAGTTCATGAAGTGAGCCGAGCGTCATAGCCGGAGGTGGGAGTAGCGTGTGATGCCGATTGTCAGCCTTTCGGCCCGGCTTGCATACTTCCGGTGTCCTTGGAAGAGGTGATGTTTTCTTGGTCGATGTCGAAAACTGTCCGCTCAGACGAGAGTCAGGCAGTAACGAAGATGGACTTTGCCAACCGACTGAGCTTGAACAAGCGTCAGACGATGCATAGCTACTGCTGGAGTATCGCAAAGATGAGCCGCCAAAGCTAAATTCCGACACACGTTTTTGAGCTGGTGAGGATGTTCTTGAGGCGGACACAACATCCGCCGGAGATGTCGGAACAGGAGCATCATCGTTGAATCTGACTATAGAGGACTGTTCGTGGGACTTTGGGCGCTGCGGGATCCGTGGCAGAGATGTTTTGATATTTTGTGACCTGGGTGGAGATTCTGGGGGAGATAAAGCATGATACGTCTGGCTCAATGGGTCGGCGTTTTCGGTGGTCGGTGAACGCGCAGGGTTCTTTGCTGGTACGGGTGGCACATGTGAAGTTTGTGGTGCAATCATTAGGTCCTCTACCATACGATGCACTTCGTCCAGCTGCTGATCGATGCTTCCAGCCGAGTGATGCATGTTATCGATTCGCTCTGCCATTGGTATGACGATGCTGTCCATTCGAGCCATAGACTTGCTGCACCATGGTCAGTAGATGTCTGACAAGGATTTGACAGCACTAGCCTTTGTAATGCTTCCGTCAACCCATCGATAGAGTTCGTATGTGTCTGTAACATCTCTTTCAGATCTGCGAGGTTTCCGCCCTCGGGAGTCCAGATCATCGTCCTGTATGAGGCTAATACCAGATCGCTCCACGAGCGCTCAATTGCGAACCCTCCAACTGTGCGGTGCTTCTTGATGACTTGGTATTGGTCGATCAGCGAGTCAAGATCATCTACTGTCCGTTGACAAGACCTTAGGATGGTACCAACGCCATATTTTATTTCCTGGTCAGCGTCCTGTAACAACTGCCGCACGGACTCCGCGTGCAGCGTCTCTGCCAACGATGCCAATGATTTTGCGAGGCTGCCGATTTCCGTCTCAACATATTGAAGCTCCACTGGCGCATTCTTTTGGCAAGCAGAAAAGGTGCGTCCAATCTTCCAAGCCTTCTGCGACAGCACCAAGATGTCCCCAATGTTGGGGACGGTCATGGTGGCGGACGATGACGGGTCATGCACGAAGTTGAGCAATCAGCCAGGTAGTAAGACAGCGCACGGATGGGAATGGGGATAGCAATTCGGAGTGTCCATAAGGTCTAGAGAATAGGTAGAGAACATCCGGGGGAGCTCTCGATATACTGTGGACACGGGAGGCGTGGGGGCTATGCGATGAAGATTCGCAGCACAAACTAGAGCAGGCCCAGCGCCGTGCGCCTGGGATATAAGACTCCATAACGAGTGCCCGCGTGTACTGTGGGGACCGGTGGCCGGGTGTTCCAGTTCGCAGAGGTTGAGAATGGAGGAGCATGGGTCGCGATGCTCGACCGGGATACCACGTGGGTCAGGTAGCGTCTCGCCATTGGCGTCAACCGCACAACCGGCATTTGCCCCGCGTAGCTGTCAATACCTGCCAACCGGCGCTGGGCTCAATGAGGACCGACGTGCGCGCAAGCTTAGACTCCGCAAGTTCCAGCAATTGTGACACGCATGCGCAAGACGAATGTGTTTGGTGCAAAAAGCGGGCTACCACTCGGACCGGGCAGCCATGGCACCGGCCGTCCTGCAGGGTACCGTCAATTCGTATTAAGACTTTGGTATACATGTACAAATCCCGCCTCCTGTGGGATACGTTTTGCCGACTTCCGTGCGACGTGATAGAGTAGAGGAATTTTCGAACACATGGTACTTGTATAGCCCATCTTCCCGACCATCACGGTCCAAATCATACCCGAGAATCCATGCGCCTAGAGTGTGTAGTATTGTACAATGAATCGCAAATCGTTGTTGTCATATCGTCGTCTGGTGCTTATGCGAGGGGAGAGAAAAGACTATAATGGTCAGCTAAGTTCCCAAAAGTACATCGGCCATGATGGAGCGATATTTTGAGGAAGAGGTTCAGAACAGAAGCGAGCGACTGAAAGAGCAGAAAGACCGTAATCCCCGTACATGCCTTGGTCTTCCACTGACACTGCTAGGCTGACCGATTATGGCCTTGGTGTAATCTCGTAGTAACCATATCACAATCTCCTTCTCATAGTCTGGTTCCAGTCTACGGAAGTCGACGGGCTGAATTTCACAGCCGGCGAAGTTCTTTCCCGTTGTGAAGAGCGACCTCGTGCTGGTATAGGAAAGGCGGGGATATGTGGTGTACTCACCGGATGAGAGAAGGCTTAGGCTCGCTTCGGGAGTATCCGAGGTATAGGATCAAAGGCAGGTAGCCGTAGTGAATAGCAACCCGGGAGACATCGATGATGCGCGCGATGCGCTCCTGTATTGAGTCAACGGAAGCCCAATGTATATACTTGGCGTATTGACGTACCTTGGACTCTTCTGACAACTGGTACATGTTGAGTATGCAGTCGGCCTGGGGTTGAGGTGGTCGAGTTGTATGCGGTAATGGGTGAAGGCGGGCCCAGCGAACGAAGTTGCGATGATGCGTAAAGCTCAAAGTTTTGGGATTAGCCGCATGCGTGTTAGCGCAAGCTCAGACTGGAGCTCCAATATCTTCGAGACGCCTTCACTTCGTTCCTGAACACCAATTCCCACTCACGACGCCTCACGACCCCAACTAAATCGTCCGGATTTCTATTGCGACCCAGGATCCAGAGTTTCGAGCCTATAGACAGCAGCCCTTCAACATGTCGGCCCCGAGTGCGCGTCACTGGTAAGTTGCAGCATTCCGAGTAGCGAACAAGTCGCGAACATGAACTCACCAATGCGCAGGGAACAGAATAAAGAAGCCACAGTCTACGTCGGAAACCTCCATGAGCGCATCACGCCCCGCATCCTTCACGAGCTGATGCTCAACGCCGGCCGAGTACGAAATGTCAACATGCCCGTCGATCGCGTCAACGGCCAACATCAAGGGTTCGGTTTCGTCGAGTTCCACACGGAAGCAGAGGCAGATTACGCGCCCAAGATCATGAACAACGTTGCGCTATACGGAAGTCGGATACGTGTCAACAAGGCGTCCGCAGATAAGCAGAAGAATGTTGAGATTGGCGCAGAGCTGTTCATTGGTAACCTTGATCCTGGAGTGGATGAAAAGACACTGTACGATACATTTGGCCGCTTCGGACCGTTGGTGAATGCGCCAAAGGTCGCGCGCGACGACATCACGCAAGCATCCAAGGGATACGGGTTCATCTCCTACGGCGACTTCGAATCCTCAGATGCGGCTATCGCGAGCATGCACAACCAGTACATCATGAGCAAGCAGATCACCGTTCAATACGCATACAAGAAAGATGGAAAGGGCGAGCGGCACGGAGACGAAGCGGAGCGTATGCTCGCGAAACAGGCCAAGGCCCACGGAGTTGCGCCGGCTGTGCAACCTCTGCCGGCACATCTTTTCCAACTTCCACCAGGTGCTGCACCGAGTGGACCAGCCATGGGCATGGATGGACGTGGCATGCCTGGCGCACCAAGCGGACCTGGAGCAGGATATGGACCCCCAGGCGGACCTCCCGGCGGACCTCCTGGTTACGCTCCCAACGGCCCTGGAGGCTATGGCCGACCTCCTTCCGCAGCTCCGGTCGGCCATCCAGGCCTCCCACCACCCCCATCTGGCTTACCTGCTCGCCCACCAAGCGGCGCTCCGACGAACTTCTTCCCTCCTCCGCCCGGGTTCAACGGCCCACCGCCAGCCTTCGGTGGTCCCCCAGGTTTCGGAGGGCCTCCCGGCTACGCTCAGGCACCGAGGTAGAGAGACGAGACGCGGAAGGATCAATGACAATCACGTTGAACATGGGCGTTGTAGCTTGAGCAGTCTCCAAGATGCTAGAACCGGTACTTCTGCGAGCCAGGGAACCAGGCCCGTTAGTATAATAGCCGTCCGCAGAAATCGCGGAAGTCATGGCCTTTGATCGACATGAAGCAGCATGAGACGATGGGTTCACGATTGGGAGACATGATGTTCACCAGGCTTCGAGTTGAATAAGGGAAAACATCAAAAGTGTATTCGAAAAGGCGCTGAAAGGTCAGCGAAGGAAAGACGCAAGAGATGGAAGAACAGAAGACGCAGGATATCTGGCGTCCAAATCCGTACTCGCAGAAAGATACCCGCCAAGAGCATGTCAGACAGAGATAGGCCACTGAAGGCAACAAAGGAAATGTAGTAATGTTTCCAAACCCCATACAAAAGAAAGAATTACGAAAGAGCCCTGTGAATGAAATCCGCCATTGAACCCAGTCGTTGCAATTATGAGAAGCTGACAAACTTGGGGTCGCGGGGTATCCCATCGGCTCCAATGTTGTTCTTCTTGAACCTCTCCTGCATGTATATTCTGCGTGCCTCGTCGAAGTCGCAGCCGCGTCTCTTCATAATGCGCATAACCTCCTTCTTCCCCGCGTCGTCCAAGCCTTGGCGCGAGTCGCCGGCTTCCACGTTCCCACTCAGGTCAAACGCTGAGGACGAAAGGCCGGCTTCGATGTCGTCGCGGAACGAGGATGGGAGGCGCGTGTAGATGGGTCCGGGGATAGGCAGAAGGTGTATCCAGCGGTGCCGGGTGAAATAGGCAGCTGCGCAGTGTTAGTGTGGCGCAGGAGGTGTTCACTAAGGCAACATACCTGTCGCAATTACCAGAACGAAGAGCGAGACGGAGTAGAGGATGTAGGCCATGATGAAGGTTGCTTGCGAGGCTGCACGAGAGGTCTATAGCGTATGCGACAGAGCGGAGGTCTTCGGGAGTGCGGGAGGGAGCTGCTAGGCGCGACAAAGGAGTTGGTGATGAATACAAAAGAAACGGATGTGAAGTAAATTCAGCGGTAGTGTGTAGATGAGCGCCTCTGAAGCCAAGGCATTAGGGGAGGTTGATGCAAGACAACGATGGTTTGTAACCACGGAGTCGCGGACAAGAACGCTCGGCTGCACCGCCTCACGTCGCGTTCATGCATCGTCACTTCCGCTCCGCTCTTGGCGTCGGCACCCACGTTGATCCATCCCCGAAACACGCACTAAGCGCATGCGGTAATGCAGACGAGGGCCCTCGATTCAATATTGGCGAACTTTCCCAACGTCAAGCAATCGACATCGTCCGTATCCACATTCCATACAGACACAATGGCCACCACTATCTCGCACGATCTTGCCTGGGAGGTTACCAGTGAGTGAAAGACTGGGACGCGCATTGGGGAGGGACTGGGGTTGACATATGGCAGAGGGACGCAGCTCCACGCTCGTCAAGAGGGCGAACGGTATCCAGTTCTCGCGCGATCCTCTTAACCTGAGGAACGTGTACAGCCGCAAGGTATGTGTGGATGTTGTGTTCTTGGGGACAGTTGACTAATTCTGCTCAGAACGAGGGCTCCATTGCCAACAAGGTACGACTACCACGAACCACGAATGCGCCGCGCGCACATGCGAATCAACACACGAGACGATACTGATAAAGTTGGAACAGGCTATCGGCGTTATCCCCGGCCCCGAGGGTGGTGTCACTCTTCTCATCAAGAAGGCCGACAAGCACCACCAGCCCGCATCTGCCATCCAGACCACCACCTTCGGCCCCAGCAGGTCCACCCGCAAGTACGTCTTCTCCGAGCCGCGGCTCTCTTCGCTCGATCGTACCGATACCGCATATCAAAGGGCTGCTTGCTGACCAACGTAGGACATACTCCGCCATCGTCAACTCCACCACCAAGCGCAACTACCGCCCCGACCTCCGCCAGGACGCCGTTGCTAAGGCCTCCGCCATCCGCAAGAGCCAGAAGCCCGTCAAGGAGTCCAAGCCCACCAAGGCCAGGGGTGCCAAGGCTCAGGCCGCTGCCACCGAGGCATAGATCATGAGATACTGAAGAGCGTGGTGCATGTGAATTGGTTCGGAGTTTTACTTCATTCGGTTCATCATCTTCTGTGGGATTCGGAGCTCATGAAAGAAAATGAGCATGGGTTGCATGAACGAATAAAGCTAGAGTCTTCACGACGAATCGACTCGGCGAGAAATGAATATGCTTCGAAAACCAAATCCTGGTGTGCACAATGCCCTCGTGATGGGTGTGGCGTTATGGATGTTTTCCAAGTGTCACCAAGATGTTGCATGTCCGTGACGCCAGATCGCTCACATGCACAAAGCCCCCTGGATGTGCTTTCAACTCAACACACAGTCACAGTTCCATGCCTGTGGAGACTAACTGTGACTTACTGTATAGATACGTAAACATGACATATCTCCAGTGAGGCAGTGTCTGCAACGTGAGCTATGCATACATGGCCTTTTTAGGATGAGCCCGGGCGGAAGGTCTCAATCAAAGAGGAGAGTGACAGCAGGGCGCGGCAGAACAGAACCCACTTCTGGTCCGTACACATAATACAGCCCAGTTTTGTGACAAGCGGGGCTTTGCGTCTGAGCATAGTGCCAACTAGTGCGTACCATGGTCTTGGGCCAAGCTTTTGTATCCAAGTATACCAATTCGAAAAGAGTATGAATGGATCCTAGATAATTGCAGCAGCTTATGTAAGCAGCATTGGTCCATTCGCATGCCATGTGCCGTAGCTAAAATAGCCCCTCCAGAGCTGGCTAGGCGCCCACACCTGGGCATGCAGCACGCAGAACTTGTGCATATTGACGCAGCAAGTCGGCGCCGCAGGGCTCGCTGCGCTATGTAGGTAATATGGTATATATTATTTGTAATCTCTACGCTTTCCATCGAATCACCTACTCAACCATCTCGGTTGCTCAATCTTCAGTAGTATAGTGGTCAGTATTTCCGCTTGTCATCTTCACAGACAACTCGCGGGAGACCGGGGTTCAATTCCCCGCTGGAGAGCATCTCATGCATTCTTTTTTTGTTTTTGCTTCGGGTGGGCCTTCGCAAGTTGGTCATGAAGGTCAATTCGGGGGGAAACTCGTGACGATGTTTTTTGTCCTGAGTAATGCATACTACCACACTTCATAAGCCTGCAATGGTGCCAGTAACTTCGCATGTGAGTAATAAGTCATAATAAGGAACGTGAAGATTTTCACAATATGTACAAAAGTTTACTCTATGTTGACAGAAATTACTCAATCATTGCCGTAGTCCGTCGTCGCTTTCTGCTCCTCTGTGTGGGTGTTGACGGATTCGCAACGACCGTTTTGTCGAGCGCTTCTTGAATCTTCCTTGCAGACCACCCGTCATCGGTTGGCGTCCAGCTCCTCAGAAAGGAGGCTGAACCAGCGTGCCAGATGAGCTGTTTCACGGTGCCTGGCGGTGCGACTAGTAAAATTTGGCATCTTCCCTTTGACACCATGCGGATTCGCGTCGCTACACGCTTTACGAACGTACTCATGCACGGAAGTGCATAACCCGGTCCGCCATGGTATGTGGGACTGGAATTGCAGTCCATGACTATTGTTGTGAGATGTGTAATAGGATATTGAAGCAGCGCTTCCCGCCAACCATCAAGTTCCCTTGCAAGTTTCGGCTCCTCCTCTGTATACTCCAGCCAATTGCTCTCGGTACATTTGAACAGTTTCTGGTTCTCCGAGAACAGTTTCAACCTGATCTTCTTCGGCAATCTAGCTGGACTCTGTGGGGCTATCGCATCCTTGACCGTGTCTGTTGTTTGCTGGCTCTTGTGATTCGTGAGCAAGCCCGATAGTGCAGCATGCGTCTGGAACGTGACGCTTCGCTCTCGGAGTATTGTAGATATGGCTTCCTCACGAATCGCTTTGGAACAGCCGAGTAGTGGGATTGGCACCGTTTCGGTAATTGCATGGTACACGATCGTGGTGTCGGTGAGTGCATATGACCAGATGGCCTCGCGCAGTTCCACTGCTAGAATCGAAAGTGTTCCGAGTGGATTCTGTCCTGACTCCATGTCTATTCTGGACGAATGGTGTTTGTAGTGGTTTCCCCAACGTTGCTCAGGTGGGACCAGGTTCTTTGCTCGATTACGCCGTCACCGTGCAGCCGTTCACACCAACTCTTTCGGGAAAGTTCAAGTTTAAGCTCAACGCCGCAAGATGCTGTCCAAATCCACTCGTGTCGCGAAAGGGCTATGTGTGGCTGAAGAGTGAAAAGCTGTTGAGGGGGAGAGCCGAGCAAGCGGAACGCTGCGGGCCGCGGGCGTGGACCAATCCAGCGATGGTCATGCACTAGCCGCTAGCGAATCGCCCGTCTTCACCTAGGCAGTCGCGATGTTCAGCAGTTGCATACACCCTTGACCCGAGATCTTCCCTTATCAGTATACTTTGAGCCTGGCGATCGATCCGATCGCCTCTGCGATGGGACTTTTTCGTGACGAACGCACACGCAGGGATGGGCCGGGTATCACAAAGCCCTTGTCTCACAGATCCATCAAACTGCCCAATTGCCGAGCGGCCTCGTCCATACACGTTGCCCGTACAGGGCCTCGCCTGGCCGGTCAAACGCGGCCGCATCCTCGCTGAAGCGCTACGCATGGCAGCATATTTTGACGAGCTGGCGCAGAGCATACCTTGCAGGCGGGCCGTTTGTCGCGTAGCGATTGGCTATACAATAGCCCTTCTCAGAAGCGACTTCATCCTGATTAACGGTCTAGCTCCCAGCGGCAGCTAGTGGCTTACCGCATGTTTCCTAGGACTGCCGTCTGATCCACCGCTGCTCTCACTAGATTGCCAGTACAAGGCTGAGTGCTGCCTCAATTCCAGCTCTCCGTCTACCGGTTTGGCCACTGGTACGCGCTATAACCACTATACAACAGCATGTCGTGGACTCCGGTGGACTTCAGCTGTGTCCGCTACTCGGCGGTAGAGGGCACACACTACTTTCATGACTCCGCCTTTCCTTCCTCGATACAGTTCTTGCTGTCCGGTCGCTGGGAGCCTTGGGACGTCAGCTACGTGAAGTAGTACGTCGCGCGTCTTCTCCAGATATCACCCGTAGTGGGACTAACGTATCGAAGCAAGGCTCAAGATCCGGATGTCCGACGCGTTGCAGAAGAAGCAGAGTTGCGACTTATCCGGGATCCTTACTCTGGATACATTCCATGGCCGTCTCCACCTCCCTCTGCTACAGGGCCTCCACCATTAGCTCCCATATACGGCCAGGCTCCATCACAACCATTTGTCACCCATACTACGGTAGCAGGTCTCATGACACCTTCACCGTCAACGGTGGTTGAGAATGCTCTCCCCGGCTCGCCACGCGATCATAGTACGCCTTCGTCAGCAACGACAGCAACCGTGTATGCTTCCCCGTACGCATTTCAAGCTGCGGCGCCAACTGGCGCCACCCAAATACCGCCAGAATCGACTCCCACTGTTCAAGCAGCTCCTGAAAACAATATGCGCCCATCTTCGCAGTACATCGATCCCGCCTTACATGATCCGACACCAAACCAAGCAGCACCTCTACCAGCCATCCTTTCGAGAACGAGAGAGACGAAGATTCTGCTTTCCATTGACGGTGACGGTATCCGGGGCTTATCTGCTCTCCTTTTAGTTGAATCGCTGGTCAACGCGATCTGCGTCAAAGTTGGGCAGCGCTTAGACAGCCACCAGATTTTTGACTTGACAGGTGGTAGTTCTCTTGGCGGTATAATAGCCATCATGCTATGTCGACTGCGCATGCAAGCCCACAGAGCAAGAGAAGCTTACAAACAGATCGCGAAGCAAGTCTTCGACAATAAAAGGGCCTACTTCAGATATCTCGACCCTCATGCACAGATACAGAAGCCTGACGACAGCGCGTTAGAGAACGAGATCAAGAGCGTGGTTCAGCAGGAGCTAGGCAGCGCAGACGAAGTACTCCTAGATGGACGGCCCGACTCGGGCGACGTGTGAGTAAACCCTATTCATCCGCGACATACATACTGACTCGATAAAGTTTCGCAATCACGACACAAATGGATATCGGTACGTACTGAAGTGGGAAGCGTGGTGAGATTCACTAACGAAGAGAAGGCACGAACAAAGCCGCCCTTATCCGATCATACCAAACACGGCGCATAACTGGACCGGATTTGGAACCCAACATGCCCATATGGCAAGCGATGAAGGCGACCTCAGCAGCCCCACGATATGTGCAATCCGAGCCAGGCGTTCCGCAACGCTTCGTGATTGAGAAGGGTCTCGTCGACCATGGGACTACAAAGAACAACCCAGTTCGCGACATCCTGTATGAATGCAGGAAGCTGTTCCGATATGCGAACGACATGATGATCATTGTCTCGGTCGGGACGGGCGTCGGCCTGAATCGCAAAAACGAGATTCCCGAAATGGCGAACAGCGTTGAGGATAGGAAGGCGGAAGCAAGATCGTGGGGTGATAGATTCGAAGCCGAACATGCTGCGTTGATGGAGCGCAATTGGATGAAGTACTTTCGGTTTGATGTGACGGGGTTGGAAGATGTGCCACTGGAGGAGTGGAGTCACGAAGATCTGATTAAGGAGAAGACTTCAGCATACCTCGCTCAGCCAGAGGTGGGACAAAAGTTCTATGCGTGTGTTGATGCGATAACGGCGCTGCTGTTGAGCCCGCAGGGGAGGTAGACAGACACGGCAACGGTAAATATGGCACAGCTGGTGGACGATAGTCGGTCGCAAAAGTGCTGCTAATAGTAATCCAATCCCCATCAGGTACATGTTGGGGTTCACCCAGTCTATGCCGCGGGTTCAAACTGTTACGTCGCGTTGTCAGGTCGCGTGTGCCCCCGCCTAGCGCGCCTGCCGTCCACCCATGGGCTCGTCCACCACGTGTCGACGTCCTTTCACACCCATCTCCTGAACAACTGCTTGGGTGCATGACATCACAATACCCGGCGTCAAACTCCGCGCCAGGTACTCTGCGTATATTGACTGTATGAGTAGGATCCGACTTCCTGGTCGACGCCGCGTAACCGCAGCGTACAGAACGCCTATGACGCCATGCCTCATTCCTTCTCTTGGCCCAACACCCGCATCGACCAAACATGGGAAACGCAACGCACATCGCATTCCCCATCATCGGTCGATGCACCCTTATTTACCCCGCGATCAGTTGATTACTCTTGGCTGCCACGGCTGTGTATGCCTTGGCTCAGAATGACAAGCCTCACATTGGCGGAGTAAGCTTACCGAAGATGTAACCAGCCGCCTCTTGACATCAGAGGCACGGGGTAACGGGCAGCCTGATGTCGCGTGGAGGGTGAGCGAAAGGCGAAGAGGCGTATGCACTGTGGTCGAGATGGTGTGAAGTATATCTCATACACTTCCTCGTTCTCCGCCTTTCACACCCCTTCCTCTCATCTCTCCTCCTACGTGCGTGTGGACTTCGATATGGCTACCGTAGACGATGGCAAACCGACAGCTGTGCCTGATACAGAGCGCGACCCCAACTATGGCGAAGGCACAGAACTTGAGCAAGAGAAGACGGACCGAATCATTACGGGCGACAAAGTCGAGCTACAAGACAGTGATGCTTGGGACAAGCTTGGTTACTCGTTCCCAACTTGGCGCAAATGGTGAGTTGAGCTTATGTCTCTTGTCTGGATGCCGCTTTGCCGTGAGACCCGACCATTGTGGCGGCGCATGTCGAGAGCCTACCATGGGCTTACAACCTCCTCGCAATCACTCTCTCCATGTTGCGATGTTCAATGTACGGCGCTGACAATGATTCCACGATAGGCAGATCCTGATCGTCGTCTTCTTCATCCAAATCAGCATCAACACGAATGCGTCCATGTACTCGCATGCTGTTAGCGCAGTATCCGAACACCATGGCGTTAGCGAACAGGCAGCTCGCGTCCCCCAGGCAGCTTTTCTTATCGCATATGGTATTGGTTGCGAACTTTGGGCTCCCTGGTCAGAAGAGTATGGACGATGGCCGATCCAGCAACTCAGTCTGTTCCTTGTCAACCTCTGGCAAATACCAGCTGCTTTGTCGAAGAACTATGCGACATATGTGGTGGTCCGGACGCTTGGAGGCTTATCAACGGCTGGCGGCTCGGTCACGCTTGGTGTACTCGCCGACATGTGGGAGCCGGATGAACAAGAGTTTGCTGTCGCATTCCTAGTGCTATCATCTGTAGGCGGGTCCGTTGTTGGTGCGATCATCGGAGCGTTCGTAGAGAGGTAAGAACATCATTGGCAAGTTTCGCTAGCAATTATTGACTTAGCTCTCTAGGTACAAGTCGGTCGAGTGGATATTCTGGGTCCAGCTCATCATCGGAGGCTTCGTCCAGCTGGTTCACTTTGTCTGCAACCCCGAGACTCGCTCGACAATCCTATTGGACCGTGAGGCGAAGAGACGACGTAAGACAGGTGAAGACCCGAATATCTATGGCCCAAATGAGATTCGAGGTGGTCATAAGATGAGCTTCAAAGAGGTCGGCACTATCTTCTGGAGGTATGTAACGGCTTCAAGACTTGATGGCTTCGATGCTAATAATAAGATAGACCTTTCTACATGTTCTTTACCGAACCAATCGTCCTATGGCTCTCCCTCCTCAGTGGTTTCAGCGACGCCCTGATCTTCACATTCTTGGAGTCTTTCGGTCCCGTCTACGAACAATGGGGCTTTGGCGTCGTTGGCGCTGGTCTAGCCTTCCTACCCATCTTGATCAGCTACTTCCTGGCTTACGCTTCATACATGCCGTCGATTATCAGTTTCCGGAAGAAACGACGACAGAATCCAGGATCAGTCGAACCGGAAGCCCGACTTTGGTGGTTACTGTTCCTCGCTCCGCTGGAGACTATCGGCTTGTTTGGGTTTGCCTGGACGTCACTTGGCCCAGACTATGGCATTCCTTGGATCGCGCCGATGATCTTCTCGGCAATGGTTGGCATGGCGAACGTAAGTTTTGGAGCCTTTCATGTGGTGCCCAGTGTTCAGTGGCTAATACTTCCCAGTATGCGATCTACCAGTCTTCAATCGACTACCAAACCGCTGCATACGGCCCATACGCTTCTTCCGCAACCGGTGGCAACGATCTCGCTCGTGATGCCCTCGCCGGTATCGCTTCTCTATACTCAACACCGCTTTACTCAAACATTCCTGGTCGACCGTTGCAATACGCTTCCACTATTCTAGCCTGCCTTGCTTTCCTGGTCACCCTGCCCATCTACATCGTGTACTGGAAAGGTCCGCAGATCAGAGCCAATTCGAAGTTTGCGCAAAGCCTCGATCAAAGTCGGCAGCAGAGAGATGAGAAGAGGAGGAAGAGTGTTCATCCAGGTGTAGAGGGGCCGCTGGGGGAGAAAGATCAGAAGGTTCATCGAGAGAATGCGTAGGTTGAGAAAATGGAGAAGAGCGGACGAGTTTGAAGCAAGTAATTTGTTCGATGCTTCCAATCTGTACGTCACAGGACTAACTTCCGATAATAGTGTATGGGATCATTGAATCAGTTCGTTTCGAAAAGGCAAGTCCATGCCGCTTGCGAAGCTTAGACCCAATGCGAAATACACTCCGTAACCTCCTCAATATGTGTAGTGTCGTAAACCGTAGTGTCCGTAGTGCTCCTTCGTCTTTGATACCAGTCCAACTGGATCCAGCTTGGGACCCTAGCCCAGACTACCTTTTCTTTCTCAGTTATGCTGAAAATGAGATTCGGTCTTGCATTCGCAAGTGCTGTTAATGGGCGTGCAACACGTTCCCATTCCATCGGCATGTGACACCGCACGTGATGAAAGGGAGCAAATCCAGTCCACTCAAGACTTAGTTCTCGCAAATCTGGGGCCCACTCTGGGTGCTCAGCGAGAGCCCACAGTTCGACTGCATCATTGTAGTCGATAAACTTGGATAGTCGGATACTGAGGAGCGCTGGGCATGACGACATAAGTGCTAGCGCGACGTCCCGGTTGCGGCAGTGTTGCAAATGAGCGGACTGCAACCCAGGACAATGATGGATGAGATGGATCAAGCTTTTTACTTTGTGGATTCCCATGTTTTCCGTCCAACTAGCCGTGGGGAGATTCATTCTAAAACCATTAATTTCCACCCACAATCATGGCTGCCTCTCAAAAAGAGGCGGGAATGACTTACGGGTCGCGAGAGTAAATATGCTTTACTCTCCCATTCATATCGACCGCTAGCATAGCCTCATCGTTCATGCTTCTAGGCGTTAGCGAGCGGTCTCCCGAGCGAAACACATCAATTCGACTTACGAGCCTACGTCCAACTGACGACCCGCAGGGCATCGCTCGCAAATTAGGTTGTCCCATTCAAATCCCTCATGGCAATCGGGTTCCATGACAACGTCTTCCCCAGTCAAAAGATGAGCTGGTTTTCGCCATCTGGACGGATCAGTCAAGGTGTCGGCGACGCATAGGCACCCGCATGTACAACCACCCAGATCCTGCTCGATATCGGGGTCACCGATATCAGCAGCTGAGCCAGCGTCCTCGTTCTCGCCCTCTTCGGGTATAGCTGACGGGGTTGGCGGTGTGATTGGAGGAGTCGATACTGTACGACTGATCGGTGCTGGATGCGAATGCGTCTTCGCGCGACGAACGCGCTTCTGGCGCGGAGGTGCCCTTGTTTGCGCAGCTACCACTACACTCATGGCTGATGCTAGAGCTTCGTCTCGCGAGACGACTGGAAAGCCCAGTCGTGCGAAGCTGCCCTCTGATGTCATGTTTGTGTCTTGTGTGCGAATTGGTGGCATAACCGCGGAAATTGTAACAACTTCGAAGGAGAAAACAGAGATCGAAAAGTCAATAACAAAAGAATGATGTTCAGATGACCCAGATTTTATAGCGGGTACCTGTAGGTGGGTCTCTGCTGTGTCTTACATTGGGGCATTGCTTTTTCCAACGGCTGAAACTCAACCCAGCTGTACCAACCCCCCGATATCTCGACACCAGTTGCTATTGGTTGCTTTAGTGTATATAAACAGGTTTAAGCTATGTGGCAGGCACATGGCGAACGCCCTCTCTTGACGCTTGTAAGCCACCAATCCTTCCTGTAGTTCTGTCGTTGGCTAGCGCGGCGCTGTAAATCTGACAGTTCGTGACATCCTGCTAGTTGTGCTCAATAAGCCCAAGATACTGTCCAGCCAAAGAAAGATATATGTTGATAAAGAAAGTACCTATGGCCTGACCCGCTTAGGTATAGCTCATGTGTCGACAGGGATACTAGTAGACACCTTTCTACCATTGATGTATGTTGTATGACTAGTCGACATGTACCACGAATCATACTTCTTGTAATGCGAACGATGAACCAGCTCGATTGGTAGCGTCGGTCGCGACCTTCCAAACTCTCGCATGCCACGCATGTAGTTTTTGTTCGAAGACTGGTCATCCAGGCGTAGTTTCTTCAAGTTCGGCGCCAGATCTGAGTTAGCGGCCATTTGTTGGAAAGCGGCTTCGGTAACACCACGCCCGGAGAATTCCAGATGTGTAATATCACGACAGAAGGTAAGAAGGTGAATCAGACCTTCGTCACCCATGCTGGAACCGCTACCCCCGGGTAGGGATATCTTCTTCAAGTTTCTGCAGCCTCTAGCAAGGCGTTTGATACCCTCGTCTGTCACGAGGCAGGCTGTCATCAGTCAGAAACAGTTCTATTAAGATTGCATAGCCATCGAGCCGTACCATTGTGAGCGTCGTAATCAGTATCCAAGTATTCGAAATAGATTTCTGTCAGCGTGTCGCAGACTTTAGGACCCATGAAGAGGATGTCTTCAATGTGATTACTGAGGCAAACAGATCAGTATTGTATTATGTGCCCTCCAAAGATGAAGTAGGAGTAAGACTTACTCTGCCAGTTTGAACGCTCTTCCAAAGATGATCCTTCGTGTCGATGTTCCAATGATTTTGTGGTACATCCCATCCCAGTGATGTCTGGAGTCTTCAAAGGAGGCTCGTTTTACTCCTTTGACAACAGGCTTCGGAAGGCGAGGTTTTGGTTTCGCCGCCTCTTGCACTTCTGGAGTCTCTTGCGCTTCTTGCACTACTTGAGCTTCTTGGTCTTCAGCGGGTCGTGATACGACTGGAGGCGTGGGGAGACGAGATTCTGACTTCGACGCTTCTTGCGTTTCCTGCGCTTTCTGCTCTTCTTGCACTACCTGCGTTACTTGGACGGCAGCGGGTTGTGATACAACTGAAGGCTTTACCCGGGCCGCTGCGGCTACGACCTCCTCTTTCGGGGCAGGTGTAAAGCCGAAGGCTGCGAGACCGCGGGAAGGAGCAGCTTTCGCAACACTATTCTTCTTCTCTGTGCGAACCGGCGGCATGGTGAAATGTGTGTATCGACGATCGGTGGGAGAGAGGGTTTGGTAGGAGATGAGATCCTGTGCAAATAAGATGCACGGGCCGGCAGGCACAACCTTGGAACAGGGGCATCTCAGCCATGGAAGCACTACCCTTACTGATGCCGAAGTCAAGCCGCCAGCAAAAGTAATGTCATCACATAACTAACCGACCATGAGTTGGGCCTAAGGCGGTTGCGACTGTATCATCACTAGATGGAAGCGCAAAGATTCGATGGAGAGACGCGTCTTCATGCAATGAGAAGTATGCCAAGGCTTGTTGCAGCGGAAAAAATGGCATCTGCACGCGTAGTTTTCGGAACTTCAAATCACAGGAGGAAGCAATCGTTGTCAATTCGCATTTAAGCTGATGAACGTTGTCGAGATCCGCATGTTCAGGGGAGAGGTGATGGAACGTTCGACGACCCGCCAGCCAATGTCATCGCGACAGGGTGGGGGGAAACACGCTAGTCGCCAGCCACCCTCACGGAGACGTGCCTTCACACTTCCTGTAACCACGCATCACGCGTTCGATCTTAGCAACATGGCGCTTGGGGCACTCTTTTACAGCTATGCTACGGTACAGATCGAATGCCCTGTAATTAGCCCTGCATCATATCTTTCGACTGCCGCCACTACCATACACGGATGCTCACCTCGTGGCTTCCTCAACCGGAAATATCGGAACTGTAAGACGATACGGAAGATCGCAGTCTTCGATAGTACCTCGTCTACAAAAGAGTAGGACCTTCTAAGAGCTGAAGCATACTCGCAACCTCCTGCTGATGTTGCTGTTCGCGTCTCGCCCTCTTCGCCCCTCTCTTAGCTTCGGGTCGCTTCCTCAGCAGCTCCTTGTACTCCTCTTCGGCAACGTCCCAATCTACCTCCAAAGCAGGGTATGCCTGGACATGGTACTTGAACCCTTCTACCTCCTCCTCATCCCAGAGCTTCTGATGAACGTGCCGCAGGATACACGCTACGACCAATTCCTTCAGGTTGTCGTCCCCGAGCGTATCGTTCGTCTCTTCAGCTGTATCGTGCAGCCTCTGAGCTGAGCCGTATATCCAGTTTACGAGGCTTTTCGCAATTCCCACGTCGACGGTGCTCTTCCACAACATATCCTCTGCCATCTTGCTATGCGCGACGGCTACCAAAGAATGATATCGGAGGTCTCTGCCCATTTTGTACATCTCCAGATGGAATTCCGCCGCAGCCTCCAATTTCATGGGATAGCTCGCCTTGGTCTTGCCGATGGGTAACTTTGTCGCATGGTGTAGCATCGTCGCTCGTCCGCCCTTGTCCAGTTTGTAGGTTCCAGTGTATATGAATTCGACGAGGCGGTCGACCATCGTAGGACTGTGTACTTGTGCGTTGAACTCGCACTCCCTAGTAAGAGTATTAAGTGTACCCTAAAAGCCGTGAGTACGAGTTCTGTCCATTTGAACTAGCCTTGTACTTACATTGCTAGGAAAAGCATATCCTTCTAGCACTTCCGAGCCTGCAATGAGGAAACCCGAATTCACGTCGAATGCAACTTTATCTACGACGAGTGTGAAGTCACAACCGAGTCGCTTGCTAAGGGCCATTTGGCCACGACTGCGATTTATCAGCGCACGTAAGAGTGAAATACAATCAATACTCACTGAGCACAAACTAGTTGCGGCTGTGGTAGTCTGACACTCTTGCCCTCGAAGATATGGCCCAGGAGGGTCTTCAGAGTCGCCAACGATATCGTAACTGCGTTTGTATGGGCGCGAGCTCCGTCGTCTGTTAAGTCAACCTCCATGCTTCATAAAGGGTGTCGAGTAACTCACCTGTTCGTACAGCTTCTTCACCGTCACGTTCGTCCGGGTTGTGTGTCGCAGCACGAGCTACATCTCTGGCGGACGGTGTTGGGCTTGTCGTACGCGGATGCGCTTCTTGAGCACGCGGCTCTGTCTCCAAACCACCCTGGTCCGCACTATTGTCGCGTTTGACAGCCTCGCGGCTCTCGTGCTCTGGCTGTGCATTCAAGCCTGAAGGTGCAATGGGTGTCGATGCATCATTGACTAGTGTTGTCGCAGGATCCAATTCCGAGCTCTCGCCTTTGCTGTCTGGTTTCGGAGATTGATTCGTCATAGCCACGATTGAGCGCTGCTCTTGAGGAATATTATCGAGGTCTTGGTGTGTGAGCCCTAGTAGAAGGACATCAAAGCAGCGTTAGCAACGGATGGGCAAGCCCCACTTTAGCAGGCCGCAAAGGACTCACGTTTGCCCTTTCACTCTCACTAGAAGACAAAACAAAAGCAAAAAAAGAATGATCGAGCAAAGAACCGAACTCTCGGCTTTGGTGTGGACGCAAAAAATACTTACATTGACCCAATCAACACTATGGCATAGCGTAGTCAAGGACACACGTATACTTCTACCACTTGGGGGTCCATCTCATGGGAGAAGCTAATTCAGAGTAGAGGGGTTGGGATATCTCTGAATTGATGGCTTTGTATACAGGCTAACAAGATCTCAGGCATAGACATTGCCGCTCATGCACTGCAAACACGCAAACAGTGAAAGACCCAAACCACTCATAACTCCACAAACTCCACCCCCGCTTAATAAGTCGCAGGTGACCGCCCTGCTACTAGCGCTAGTCGCGGCGCTCGTTGTCTTTCCACTCTGCCCCTTCACTTCCTGCCGCCTACGCGTCCAGACGACCCAGCCTCTGCACATCTTCGGTAGACTCAAGAACCGACATGGACAACCAACAAATCAGTCAGAGCGACAGCGGACGTGTTGCAGAGCCTCAGCGCGTCGAGCCTCGGGCAATGGCGTTGACAAACAGCGATCCCGGCGCGGACATGGAGTTGGTGGATATCCATTTTGGACACCTGCCGGCTTCGAAGGCCTCCCCGATGCCTCATGAGTGTCGCGACATGTACTGTCAAGCGTATGTCATCTGCACGAGTATATCACTGACAAAAGCAGGTGGCGCCGCGAATTCGTGACGAGCCCACTCAGTACCGTGACGCTTGTTGCCAAGCTGGGAGACGAGACCGCTACTTGTACTCTACCCACGGAATCAGCCGGAGTCCTTTCGAAGAAGTTCAGGATGCAGGTAAGTTCCAGCTTTCCGCTGCCTTAGGAGCCTAGACTGACAATTCATCAGATCCAAGATCCGCAAAAAACCGACTCCGTTGTCACTATGCATGACCACAAGTTCATCGTCGTTGATCTGATGGTTCAACACATCCTCTACGGCGAATACTATCTCGACAAAGCCCAGCAGCTAGGCGAGTATAGGTTGACATACATGAAGAAAGCTCGGCCTGGTATCGAAGACGACAACCTCACGGTGCGGATAGACGAGACGCCAACAGAACTTCACCTCCAGGTGTATCATTGCGCGAAGAAGATGGAGATTTCGGGACTCCTAGCCGAGGCTGCGAGAAACTTCAAGACCTCTCTCCTCAAGGATCTACCGACGGCCGACCAGTTCGTCAACATGATGGAGAAGTACAAGCTGTTCGACCCGTCAGAGAACACCAGCAAAGAGCTCCTTTACGCGGTCGCGACTTGTGGAGCGATGCAGCGTTCTGTGTGGCTCCAAGAAGAAGGTGGCACCAAGTACCTTGAGTTCCTCGGAACATCTGGCTATGCGAAATACGAGGGGGCGGCCGAGCGAGACCTGGACAAGTACAAGCTCGAACATAACATCCCAGAGCGCATGGTCAACATCGGCGCCACCGACCAACAGCTATCGAGCAAGAGGCGACTGTCGACTGATCCTTCGCTTGATGCGAGAACCCCCAAAATGCGTAGTGTCGGTACAGGACAAGAACAGCGTGGAAACATCGGCGGTCGCCTTCTCCAGCGCCCTGGTTCGAGCAATATCTACCAACCTACTGTCGAGGACCACAGCGATTCGCCTACCCCCCGTCGTCGTGACCATGGAAGCTCGGCCACTCGTACCAACAAAGCACTGCCGCCTACACCCACACCATCTGAGCTGGACAGGTCTTGGCAGTCTATGGGCGGATCCAAGGCGTCTCAAGGTGAGAAGGCAGCCTCGGTTCCCATGAAGCCGGCATCAGGTCTCCTGCGTACCCCTCGTCCAAGCTCAAGCCTTCGACAGAGCCAGACGTTCCGCGGTGAGGCCGATGGCTCTGATGATGTCGATGGACCGGATCTCTTCGCCGACTTCAATCCCCCGTTCGCCTCTCATAGTCCACAAGGTCCTAGTCCCGTTGCTCCGCGAACTGCGCGCAAGCAAGGAGGTCATCAGCCGACTACGGACCAGACCAACGTCGACCGTCAAGATGCTAGTGAGAACGTTCTTGGCGGGGATGATGATGACACTACCATCACGGGCTTCACTGCTACTCGTCAGGGACTCGATCCGTCGTCGTCGTCGAACAACATCCCCGTGGATGACAACGTCGACGAATCTACCTTCATTCCCCTCATCAGTTCATCTGACGACGGCAAGGGCGACCCCATGGAGCTAGAAGTCCCACGTGTCGAGTTCAGCTTCGACGAGGGCAACACCATCAACCAGGTTCCCCAGGTTCCCGTCCTCGCACCCACTGTCGCTACCCGTAGCACATCAGATGAGACTGGTGGTCAGAAGAAGAAGGAAGATACCAGCATGACTGACGTGTCTGGGGATGGAGACGATGGCGTCAAGACCGAAGATCGCATGGAGGTATAGGGGGCGTGGCAACGACAAGGACGTTTGTAGACGATGGGGTGTCAGCCCATGAATCTATGTAGACTTTTGTAGTTCATACGTGCTTAGGTGAAGATAAATACAACGAGGATGTATCAGTCAACGCTCGTTATACCTCTTGTTTTGTGACTGTGCTGCTAGCTGAGATACTCCTGGCGCAGGCATCCATTTTCAGTACAATCGGTGATGATACGCCGAAGGACAGCACGACTAGGCCCGGTAGATTAGAATCTTCGGAGTGAATGTGCAGCACCATTGTTATTAAGTCATGTGAGGCGCTAGTGAGGCAGTCATAACACCGTGATAGTCATTATCGGTAGTCGTTCAACTTCTCCATCTCGCAGCCAATCCGACAACTACCTGCACCAACTGAACTCGCCCGCACCAGACAGCTTTCAGCGACCCGCCCTCAGAACCACAGGAAGCAGTCGCTCTACCGACCACGATATCTAGCGCGATGGCCAGCAACCCCGACGAGCACACTTTGGGTAATAGTGGGGCCGACATTACCTTGGTGGATCTTATGTTCGGAGATCTGTCGTATGAAGACATGGAGCCATCTGACGAAGAACTCTTCAAGAGGTAAGCTACGAGCCAACCGCCCGAGACCTGTGTTTTGATTGATACTTACTCCCTTTGTAGAGCACGTGAGGAGCTCCGCCGTAATATGCCGCGCGACCTGTCTCTCCCGTCTTCTGACAGGCTGGCTAGCTTTGCTACAAACCTGGAGTTGGCAATTGCGGCGTCTGAATGGGTCGAGCACAATGTAAGTCTCCGAGTACATTCCGCATTTCAGCTACTTTGCAAACATTGTACTGACGCAGTTTCAGACGGAAAATATCCAAGAAGCGCCTACCAAGGACTACAGCCCTATGGTCGTCAATACCGTGGCTGAGGCCATCTTCGACCCACAGTACGACATCCCCAACGACCTTCCCGACGGCACCACTGCGACCGACTTCCACCTGCAAGTGTACTTCTGTGCAGTCGCCATGGGTATGAACGCCGTCCAACACTTCGCCTTCAAGTTCATGAGCGCTGCCCTCAGCGAAGATGGCCTGACGCCTGAACAGCTCAGGAGCTTGGTAGAGAACCACGGGCTGTTCACTCCAGCTTTTTGCAAGAAGACACGGTCGGCACTGCCATTTCACAAGGTCATGTGCACGCTCGCCACTCACATTGTTCTCTACGAAGATGACTTATGTGGAAGCAAAGTGTACAGTGATCTGTTCCTTACTACCGAAGGATATCTGCCGTATTGGCTGAACAAAGTAAGGAGGGGCGTCAAGGCTTACGTTGAGGTGGTCAAAAGGGAGGATCCTGCTGCGTACCGCCGGCGATTCCCTGGTTAGATAAGTCATGTTGCGGCGGCTTACGGGTCTGTATGGGTGAGCGTTGGTATTGTCTTTGCAATTCCTCGCTATTCTCTCTTGCTTCACAAGTCCGCTACTAGCGGAGCCTCTCCAGACGTAGGCGTTCACAGGTAGTCTGTTTCGCGATGATACCCCGATTGATAGCAGGCGTATGGCGTTCATGTGGTACAGCACATGTAATAAAACCTCTTGAAGACCACCACGCTATTCATCACCATTCCCAGAGTCCTCTCACGGTAGGCGTATGCAATCAGCATACTCATAATATCGTTATTTATTCCTGTTCTAACATCGCAACACAACTCCTCAGCAATGCCATCAACCGTAGCTGTATGCTCCGCCCCGCAGGTGTATCCGCATGCTTACCAGCACCCCAACCAAATGGCAGCACTAGCCTCCGTCTACCCTTCTTATCCAGCACAACGAGTGCATCTAATGGAAACTTGCCTCCACCGAGGGGATGTAGTAAGCCCAAGCGGACGAAGTGGTTGTTCGATGGAGTCGCGGCTTGTATTAAGGGTAGCGAGAAGGGCGCGGAAGAGGAGAGTCTATGTGTCGAGGGGTCGTGGCAGAGGACGAAGGGCTGAAGGGTGGGCGAGAGCGCGTAGAGGTCTGGTAGAGCGGAGCTGTGGGTTGTTAGTAGTAGTTTGAAATGGTCCAGGATGATCTTACCAAAGCAGGTCGTAATGGACCTGAACGTTCCCCTGCACACACAAAACAATTATTGACGCCTGCCTCTTATACCTTGCCCAGTTGTTATGCGCTTCCAGCATACTGCCTACAGGAGTCGCGAGCGTACTGCTACCCAGTATCGCATCCACATCCACGCTCCATGCCTCCTCCGGACTAATAACATCTAGCTCTTCCAGCTCGCACTGCGTCTTCGACCTCTTCAGCGCATCGCCCAATGGCGGCAGCGCAGGCGAGGGCTCCCTCCTCCGCTGGACCTCGTCCTCGTCCTCGTCAACAGTCAGGCGCGAGCGTTTGCGGCTAAGAGCCACATCCATGGTCCAGCTGTCGTGCGTAAGTAAGTCACCCATCTACGGCGTCACGTCATACATGCGTTGTGGGTGGAGAAGAAGACACGACCAGCGCCCATCTTCCTACGACAGTCGGTCTGGGGTTGTCGCAGAGACGCACGCACGAGCGAAAAGACCCAGGGTTTCCTGCACGTCAGGCCCAAGCTCCCCTGCATACCCCGCCATCAACGCGCCTTTCCGCCTTGCCTACGCAGCGACCTACCCCACTATCCATCAGCTCAGCTGCGCCTAGGCTACCAGAACGGCGGCTGGCGAATCTGCCATCTCGGATGCTTCGCGCCCATGGCTGAGAGAGACGTTGCGAGTAGATTGCGCCAGAGCACTTGGAACGGGAGCATTCCACTCGAGATACGCCTGCACAAGGGCGACTGTAGGACGTACGACGAGTCGGATCCTTACTTAGTACGTGCAGTGTCGACATAGTCTGGCGATGATACATCGGATGAGCTATGGCTGACTAGAGGTAGATACAATTTCCACGCATATCGTATCTCGGGCTGCTCATACACAAACTGCATGCCTTCTTCGCACGCAGCCTTATCTACCCGGATGTCACGCCCAAAGACGCATGGCTATCCTACGAAGACGTGCCGCTGAAATGGCATTATCCACTAGGTCTTCTCTACGACCTCTACTCTGGCGCTGAGCCGGCGTATCCCTCAGACACGGATACAGAGGCTGAGCAAGCGCACAAGATCGAGAGTACAGAGGAAGAGCGTCAACATTTACCATGGCGACTCACGGTACACTTCTCCGACTTCCCGTCCGAGCAGCTGGTTCAGCTCGACAATGACGACAAGCACATGCATGATCTGTTCATCCACAGCGTGAAGGAGGCCGACTACCTCAGGACAGGAACAGGAAAGACAGTCATGTTTCTAAGCAAAGAAGACAGCACGCAGCTCTGGAGCGGAGTGAAGAACCACGACTTTGCGGTGTACAACCCTATCAACCAGAAGCTGCTGAACCCGCAAGGAGTCAACCTGAGACATCTACCAGTGCGGCTCTATCTCCCACACGCGTCGTCGGAAGGGGTGCAAGAAGAGACGGCACCCGGGAGTTTGAGAGTCGTGCAGAGGCTGGTGACGCCGAACCTGTCGTCTAGTAGGTGTAATTGCGGTGTAGGTGTGGAAGGCGCTGACGGCAGACAGGGCAACCACAGACCATCGGGACAGCACTGAACGCGATATTGCCGACACTATTTCCGAGCAGACGCAGTCCGCTGCTGGCGCAGGCCGTGTTGCACGGAGCGGTGCTGCCGCTGAGCGCGAGTGTGGAGGAGCTGGTGCGCGCGACGGCATATCTCGATGGCTGGCTGCACATTGCGGTGGTTATGATGGGCTGAATAAGGATTTATGCCAACAGCGACGGCGGTCACATGGGAGCCGAGTCATGTGGCGACGCTATTCCACGATCCCGGATAGCAACAATATTGGCAGTACGGGCAGCGTCGCGATAGCGGACGCGGCAGCACAACTCAGACGTTCCAAGGCCCGCGTGCAGCTCGCGAGACTTGCTTCTGCTGATAGTGCCTGTGACACGGTGATGCTCTGCAGCGTTTCAAAGGCCGTGTAGGGCTCGTGTGCCATGCTTCGCCAAGATGCGGGGGCACAGGCACAGCAGAAGCTTAGTGAGGATCCCGGCATCGAGCTACCAAGGCCACCCCACGCGTCTCCAGTCTGCCTGGGCGCTATCGGCGTAGCGCGTCGCCCTGTCGACGCGAAGCCAGCGTCTGGAAATGAGGCATTATTGACGTGCGTTGTTTTTGGCTCCGGTGCGCTAGGCCTGCTGTTGCCCGGTTGATGCTGCCCACGGTTCGGCTGGTGTCAAACGGCCCTGGCGAGATATCCGAGGGTGCTGGTGGGTTCGCGCCGCCTCCATCAGTCATGGACGATAAGCAATGGGCGATGACATCGTTGCTGCTCCTGCGGCACAAGAACGGTTAAGAGGTGGCAGGGGTGCTGGCTGAGTGGAGCCGACGAGTAGCGTCAGCGGCTTGCAGCGCCAGACGCACCTGGGCAACTGTGTGGAGGCGCGAGCGAGAGGTTCATGGGGAGTGCTGGGAGTGCTACGGTGGATGGCTTGGTATCAACGACCGGTGAAGCTCTAAAGCGGCTCTTCTCATGACAGGCAACTAGCAGATAGTGACTACACATCCGAACGTGAGTATCTCCGACGTGAGGCTGCGATCGTCGGCTCATCTACGACGAAATGATGGCATGTCGCGCCATTGGCTGCACTGGGTAGCTCCCTCCTAGCTCCCTCAACCCTCGCGGGTGGTTGCTAGGCCCGACCCAACCTTCATCTACTCTTCACGCTGCTCCTCGCCCCGAGTCTCCAACATCCCCCAGCGCCCACTATCCATTACCCACTCGGACGAGCCTCAGACGTAAGTACCGCTCCCTACTCCCTCCCTCCAGGCCCGCGCCCATTCCCCGGCCGAAGCGACGCTGCACCCACCCTTGCAAGCTTGGAGCCTCCCGGACAACCCGCTAGGACCCGGGGCCAAACAAAATGCCTCATCAACTGTGCAGAAATTTTCGGCGAGCCGGCGCATTTAAAAGCGGACATTCACCCTCTTGCTATTAAGAGCTTTTTCGTTCTCACTCTTTGATGCTGCATCGCTGTCGACCTGCGCCTTTCAATTAAACATCGCCGAGTCCCTCTGCCTAGCGACCGTTTCCGTGGGTTTGATCCGATCGCGCTGACCAGCTTCCGTTGCCATCAACAGCCAAAACAAAGCTCCCTTCAGCTCGATATTCAAACAGTGGACCGATTCAATTCGTAAATGTAAGCTCAATGCCGCCTTGTTCTGGAGCTGCCGGGGAGAGTTCGCGTCACGTCGTCGCATCCCGTCGCGTCGTGTCGCATCGCATCGCATCACCGCCATCGGGACCAGTCTCGCGACAAGCCTTGGCCGAAGATCGTTACGCTCGAGACCTCTCTTGCGAGTAAATCGCACGCGCCCAATGCGCCTGGCCTGTGCTTCTCCAGCTCCGGGAATCCTTCCAGGTCTTCACAGCTGCTCGTACGAACAACCTTTCTAACATCTCCACCCCAGAAACCCACAAACAAACACAATGGCCGCCATCAGCATGCCCATCGCCGCTCGCGCCGAGTACGCTCTCCACCAGCTCGCCAAGCGCGACAAGAACTGGGCCCAGCGTGAGCCCGGTGTCATTGTCGTCTTCGTCATTGTTTTCCTCGTCGCCATCCTCGTCATTGCCATGTTCATCAACAAGAAGGTACGTTTTCCCAACCACCCCAGCCACCCAATTCTTTCCCCCATACAGCATTCTAACACCCACCACAGAGGCAAGCTGGCAAAGGCATGGCATAAGATACCCCCTTTGATTCGAAGTTGGAGCGAAGCCGAGCAGTACGATTTCAAGGCGGACAAGACATGACCCCCGATACGAAAGTCATAAGAGCTGTTATGTGGACCGGGCAAAGAGCTTGTGTATAATGTGTTTGAATATTCGCGTATAGGATAACATGGGCTGACCCTGCTGGGGAGGCACTGTGGTGCGAATGCCTCTTTGAGAGGGCTTCGTGGTAATAATGAACAAGTCAAATACCCATTGAGAAGCTGTCGCGTTGTATTACTTTGAATTGGATCGAATTGCTAACGTAGGAGATGGCTCGGAGCTGCACTAATAGCGTCGACAGCGCGTCTAACAACAAATCTGGCATCGATCAAACTACACTTGCGCGTCTCATCGGCATGCGAAGAAACCCTCGTTCCTTCATCATGCTTCGACCATGCAGGGCGTTGGAAACAGCTTCATCACCGCCTTGATTCTTCTAGCTCCCCTCGCTAAAGCATCTGCGAACCCAAGTTCAGTCTTGCTGCATGCTTTATAGCACAACAGGCTAGCACAAGCCGGACCCGATCGCTTGCTTCTTTCTTCGATCACCACATCCCACATCTTCCTCATCCTCTCTCGTCCTCGACTGACGCAGCATAGCTTCTTCGAAGCGGGTGTTGACTATGGAAGAATGGTTCCACCACAATTGTCGCTTTTTTGCAGGACGATGCTGTTTCGGTTGTGGAGGATAGGCTGCACAGTGGCTAGCAATGGCTGTTGATAGTTTGTGTACATTCTGTTCAACAAGGGTTTATTTAGGTAATGGTGGTTTGTCAGGGTCGTCTCAGGTAGTCGTCGTCACCCACACTGCCAATCTCAAGGGTAGACTTGTCTCTACTATTGCCGCCGGATTGTCGTTCACACCATCTCGAACCACTCATCTTTCGATGAATCCCGTCCCTCCATTGCTTCGCCATCCATGTACCCGTCCAAGTAGCACTCGCCAACGAAATGCCATTGATTGTTTGCGAGAGGCCTTAGTATATATGGAACGTTTCCGCCGAACAAGATTGCGACTGTATCCCCGGACATCATGCTTGCTGGTCCAAGACCGAGATGACCCGATGAGGTTATGAATAGACGTCTGTTCATTAGACGTTCAAGTGACATGATATAGCGATTTGGGCGATGGTCCTCAACGGCCGCGATAGTCCCGACGCTACATGTCTCGGTCGTATGCTGTTGGTGTCGATCATCGCGATCAGGCACCCGTTCTTGCGAAAACTCGATGACAATTTTGAAGGCTCTCAGCGGTTCGTATTGAACGTCCCCGTGTTCAGGAGTCAATCCTGCGGTTGTCACACGGAAAAACGTCCTGTCAAAAGAATCCGAGGTGTGTACAGCTTGTGTCTTACAAGACTCGTAAAGTTGGAGAATAAGATTGGACAAGTAGTCTCGATGTCGCTCTGGTACTCCCGCGTGAAACTTCGTGTCGTCTAGCCTTACCGTAGGGAGACAAACGTTGACGGTATCAACATGTGTTCCAAGAACGCGCAGGACGTTCAATGGGGCATCTTGATCCATCGTAAGCCGAGTACGTCTGGAAGCTCTGTTGAGTATTTCGGAAAGATTGCGCGAGCCATCGGGATCCCAGTGCAATCGAAATGCACTGATGCGGCGTGTGGAATCCGCAAGATCCCATCTTGGTACCCAGGAAGGGAAATGTAGGCCCGATGAAGTAGCGCTTGCCATCTTCGCAGGAGTGAGCTGCGATAAAACACTCAGGCTGTGGGTTTGCTGGATACAGTACTTCGCAGCAGCTGCGTACACATCCTGCACCGGCCTCGTGTAGTCGGGTTCTAATTCTTGAGGCCAATTATCCAGATCTCGGCCTGCGCTACTGACTCCGAGCAGCGCAAAGACTTTATCTCTTGGGTCGGTAGAGCGGAATGAGCTTGTTAAGCGTAGCAGGACGTGCAGGTGAGATAAGGTATATGCCAGCCCTGTGCCGCCCCAGTAGTGTTTACCGATAACTTCTTGGATGTTATTAACAAGTTCCGTACGTTCCGTACGATGATTCATGCCAGATGTGTTCAGCCAAACTATGGCCTCCTGGAAATGTGACCAGGACACCCGCTGGCTACCGCAAAGCATCTCGGGGCATCTACTAGACACTGCTATCTCCTGCAAGATCCAGCAACGCTCGAACCAGGGTGATTCCAGCAGTTGGGCTAAAGCACTCCATATTCTGTCGTCCACTGGCGGTAGCGTATGGCGGTTTGCGTGGGGACAGTGATTGATTTGAGTTAGCAGGCTTTTCGCAGCCTTAGCAACCTCTTCAATCCGTCAGTAGGCGATATCATGAGTTTGGTATATTGATCATGTCATAGGGACTGGGCGTCTGGAGATTTTCTGGTATATTCTGTGGCCCTGAAATATAACACTTACCGTTCTTGAGCGGTAGCCAGATGATGGTATGCGTACTTCGTTGATATATGGATCGCATCATACGGACTTGCTGGGCACGCTCGGCATCGTCTTCTTGGTTGATACAAATTTGATCTACCCAGAACGACGTCAAACTCGCTTCCACTGCATATGCATGCAATCTCTTCAGTCCTTTTGCCAGATTCGACGATATTTTCAGCCTAAACCCGTTGCATCGTAAAGTAATACTCCGATCTGGGGACCCCCAACAGTAACTGAGCGCATGGTATGGCGTATGATCGGTGAGCGAAACCGATCTCATCTTGCAACTGAGGTACGGAAACACAGTAATGATCTCGAACAGGCGGAAAGATAGTGGGGTAGGAAGCGTATGGTACAAGGAGTCCGATGCGACATCCGTATGGTGTCCAGGCAACGACGTGTGTCGGATGGTCGCGCCTGAAAGAACCGATGAACCGGCATCAGACTCCATGATGCTCACGGGCTAGGACCAAGACTGTAGCAGACAGTGAGGAAATATGAGGGTCTTGAAATGCCAAGGTCAGTTTCAGCTGGAATAGACACAGCAGTGGTGGAAGTAGACGTTGAATCGGCCGCGTCGTTAAAGTTCACCTACACCGACGCCACATGCTTGGCTATGCTGACCAGACTGCAGCCTGATGTCCTGCTTTTCGCACGCTGTCAGTCATATTGTGGCGGGGAAAGCGCATATGCGCAGTCGCTGGTTCTCAGTCGAGATCATTGGCCGCCAGAAGCCACCTCAAGGACGGCGTCGTCTCGTCACTTCTTCAAGCAAGTTGTCACGCTGCCGGCGGACCCAATGATGGTCCCGTAACTGTATCGCAATTCGATATGACAACTTTATTGGATGTCAATGTGCCAGATAGGTCTCTGTCGCAGTAAAGTGAGGTGTTGAAGATCAGGGACGCGATTACCCCGCGAAGCGTTGAGCAACTGCGCGTCTGCGCATCGAGATGTTGGAAGGCACCAATCCACAAACATCGGCTGATCTAGGCATACCTAGGCAGCAGCAGCCTGAAGCTCACACGGCATGCATATTAAAGTCGAACGTAGCTACATGAAAGACCACACATCTTTCTCATCCTCAAATAATCTCAAAAGTCAAAAGTCAAAATCATCAACCGCATACTCCAGCAACCATGCCAACCACCCTCACAGTCGCAGACCACGACTCCAAAAGCTCACGCAGCCGAACCTACAACGTCGACACCCCAGAAAAGCTCCTCGCACGCACCAGTGAACGAGACTCCCAGGCCTGCAAATGGCTAATCCGGAGTTCGGTCTCCGCTGATGAACTCCAGAAGTCTTGCATCGTCGGCTCCAACAATGGCTTCGTCCACGCAGCTTTCGATGCATATAGCTACCACCATCATCTCACCATCCGCCCGGAAGACGTCTGGTTCGCAATTCTCTCACAGCTGAACTTCTACATCAACGCCAATGCGGAAGCCCTACGCGATCATTTCGTCTCGCACCAAGGACAGAAAGAGCTTGAGGTCAAAGACGTGGGCAGCATTCACTCCGTGGACATCGGTGCCTTGGCTCGACGGATGACAGGACTCATACAGGAGAATGTCAAGGACCCCGATCTGCGCGATTGGATCATGCCTGCATTCAGCACGACCACAGTCAGCGACCGCACAACAGCTGCAGTACTCATGATGGGTACGATGCAGGCATATTTCTCGTACAAAATGAGCATCATGTGTGGCATTCCCTCCGTCACTCTACTGGGCGAACGCGAAGACTACGAAGACATCCTCGCCAGGCTGGAGAAACTCGTCGAATTGGGTCCTGAAGCGAGTATATTCGCCGATCTACTTCGCCCTGTCCTGCGCAATTTCATCGCAACGTTCGATCCGGAGCAGGCCGTTGCCTCCCGCGACTTCTGGCAGAAGATCGCCCATCGCTCTGGCGGGGGCAGCGGACCGTCATACCTGGGAGGCTGGCTAACGGCATTCTGCTTCTGGGACGACAAGGGCAAGTGCATGTATAACCTGAAGACAGGAACGCAGGATTGGAACGTCGATGAATCCGATAAACAGCTGTTGGAATTGGACGGAGTTTCGTACCATCGGGTGGATACCGATGATATCCCGTCGGGCTTTGCTTCTGTACCTGTGTTGGTGAACGACAATGGTACCGAGTACAAGACGAAGATGGTCGCTGGATCGCTGGGTATCGAGATTACTAGCAGCAATGACTCCGATGCTGGGGAGGAGGAGAAGAAGCTGGATTCGCTGCAGTCGCTCAGTGGGTGGATGATGTATGAGATTGATCCTGCTCCCAAGAAGAACCCCTGGGAACATGACTCGGAAGGGAATGACTCTGATTGACCAGTATATGAGGGTGTTGGATAATAATGACATCGAGCATGATGCGAAAAGTATGACGGACTAGTTTGCGAAGGATAAGGTTACCGGGTTTTCCTCATGGCACTGTACAAAACGTAATTTAAAATATATATTCTCTAACAATCTACACATGCGGTAGCATAGTTAGGAGACATTCAATTTGCATGAAGAGCAAGCTCAGAGAAACAGCCCTCTTCGTATACGTCGCAGGTATAGAATGGTGAAGTAATTGCTTGAATTTGTTTGCATATACATCTCAAAAAGTACAAATCAGGCTCAAAGAAGTATCAACTTCTGCGCAAAATCGCAGGTTCATCCAGCAAACAAGATGCGATGGCTCTCCCCCTTCCACAACTATCCAAATACACTCTATGTGAAAGCCATGCTCTTCTTGATCTCGGCAATGGCTAGCGCAGGGTTAAGTCCCTTGGGGCACGTCCTTGAGCAGTTGAGAATGGTGTGGCATCGGTACAAGCTCATGCTGTTGTTGAGGGCGTCCTGGCGCTCGGCCTTCTTCTCGTCTCGCGAGTCGGCGATCCATCGGTAGGACTGGAGAAGAACAGCGGGGCCGAGGTACTCCTCCTGGTTCCACCAGTAAGACGGGCACGAAGTCGAGCAGCAAGCGCACAGAATGCATTCGTAGAGTCCGTCGAGCTTCTTGCGGTCTTCCTTGGATTGACGGAACTCACGACCCTGGGACATTGTTAGCAGATGTCTATTGGCCGACTTCCAAGGGTGTACGTACGTCTGGTGCGGCGGTGTCGCGCTGCAGGTATGGCTTGACCGATCGGTATTGCTTGTAGAAGAGCGTCATGTCCGGTACGAGGTCCTTGACAACGTACATGTGGGGGAGCGGGTAGATGCGAGATTCCTTGGTTGTGTCGGTGGGAATACGGCCTGTCAACATCGTTAGCCTTCCAATTCCTTCATACGTTGCGATTACACATACAGAGACATGCCAGGGTGTTGACTCCGTCAATGTTCATGGCACAACTTCCGCAAATACCCTCGCGACAACTCCGCCTGAACGTCAGGGTGGGGTCCACCTCGTTCTTGATCCTGATGAGCGCATCCAGCATCATGGGTCCGGTCTTGTTCAGGTCGAGCGTGTACGACTGCATCTTGGGCTTGGAGGTCGGCTCATCTGGGTTCCATCGGTAGATGTGGAAGGTCTTGGTCTTCGCATCTGCGCTGGCCTCGGGGTCCTCAATCGTCGATGTCTTGCTCTCTGGGATGGGCGATCGCGACGCATTGGGTACAATCTTTTCGGCGGTCTTGGAGATGGGCTCGCGGGCGTGAACGTCGTTTACGGAGGCGAAGCCGCGGGAGAAAACTGCCGGCCGTACGGCTGTCGATGAGCGTTAGCAGTGCTCAGCTGTCGCGGTGACACTGGACGGTGTACGTACCAATTCTCCGGGTAGCCAGACGGGTGAAAGCGCGTGTGGAGGCCATTGTGTGTGGTGTGGTGTGGAGAGTGCGGGCTGGGGCTTAAAGATCAAAGTGTTGCTATCATCGAAGTTGTAGCGCCAGGGCGCCACTCAAGCTTCCTCGGTTATGACAACTGCCAATCCGTGATTGGTCGCGCATGCTCGTCGGACGATTCCGGCTTCTTCGGCCCTTCGACGCCACTACATCATCGTCGAAAACGTCAAGACTTGTGACAGTCATCTCGCACATAAAGATCGTTCGCCCAGTGTGGTTCTTTCCAGAACGCAGGTCTTTGAAGAAGTCGTATTTCGATAGATTGCAAAGCTCAGCAAGGTCCCAGCACACGAAGATTTCGGCTACAAGCAATTTCTTTGTGCTCGTGTGATCAATTGCGCATAGCCAGTGTTGGTATTCATAGTAACTGTAAGGTCGGTAATATCGTAGTGGCTTGCTGTACTCATATCACGCCGACGTTAGAGGTATATGCCATATAGCCGATCGGCCTTGATGAGGTAGAATTTTCTTGCAACGCCGACTCACTCAGGAATAGCCGATGTTCCACATCCTTGAGGGTTTGATTCTCTTTGCACGTACTGTGCTTCCACTCAAATCTCAAGAACGCTTCTCTCCCGTTCTACCAAAACCCTCCAGCAGTCCAGTCTCCATTTGTCGCTCTGTCTCAATCACCGCGCAAATCTCCGGGATTACTCTGCCTTGCAAGGTCGAAATCCCACTGTTCCAAGCCCTACACAATTTCAGTCTGAAACGCATTGCACTTTCTGTTCATGTTTATAATGCTGAGGTCGTATGTGCGCACTCTCGTCCTTATGGTTCCACACTACGTCGTGGTTTTCTATAATAAAACCAACAGTTCTCGATATGCCCCAGAAAAAATTCGTGTTTTACCAGCTTTCAATGGAACTTTGGAACGAATCTCTGGTTTGAGGGCAAGCCAGTGTCATGTTTTCGCTCTTTCCTCTTCCGGACGTGGACTCACCTTCACCACGCGGAGCACCAAAGCAGAAGGCACGACGAGAATCTGGGGTTCGGGGCCCCACTTTGAGCTCTCACTTTCACCTTATCGCGACTGAATCTCTTAGAAGCCTGTTTGCTCAAGCTGCCAGCTTGGCGAGGCCTTTCGTCGCCGCGTCCACCCTCTTCCCTCCGCCACCGCACCACGCTCACACGGTCGCGTCGCCCCCCCAATTCCGCACCATCCGCACCCGCTATAGCGCTCTTATCGCATCATTGTTGCTAGGATTGTAGAAGTCATGTCTCTCTCATCACCTCATGTAAGTCGTCTTCTCTTTCGTCTGCTCTTGCATCTTCTGTGGAATCTTGTTGTTGACAGTCCTCGAGGCACTTACGCCCACCAAGGGTAGGTTCATAGGCGGTAGCCCGACTGGTGGCTATGGCAGTCCACTCCGTCCGCGCTTCGAGAGGGACGAGCAGTCCTTGCCTACTGTGGCAGAAGACGGATCCAATGGAAGCGCGTCCACTGATTCACACTCCGCTTCTGGAGGATCATCGTCGCAGCTCAGCTACAACAATGCCATGAGCCGCCCTATGGATGCTTCTCGAGGACCAGTCAACAGCCAGATGCCACACGCAAAGCAGCAGCTTGTGGGTTTCGCTTCACCCTAGCATGTCGAGGGACTGTGGCTAACATACACGAAGCCGACAACTCCTCAGCGAGCTCATCCTATGACAGTCAACGGAAACATGCCGCCTTCTCTTGCGTCCCCATCGTTCACTTTCCCGCAGGGTACTCAGCAGTACGGTGACTACACCCAGAAGATGGCGTCGGCTAAGATCAACCACCCCAAGAACTCTGTTTCACAACGTGGCATCTCTCACACAGGCCAGAGGTCCGATAACTGGCGTTCATCTGGTCACGCATCGTTCAGGAACTCCAAGCGTCATCCATCCACCATGGTCAACCCTGCGCCAGCATTTCCACGCACAATGACCGACATTCCCGAGTATCTGGCTGTACAGGAGATGGCTTTCCGTCAAGGTCAGTATGACTCAGGAAACTCTCGCAGCAGGGTCCCAGCAAGCCCCTTCGCAAGCCTCTTCGACCAGGTCTGGGAGCGGTTCTTCCAAATGGGTGCAGCCTACGGAGGAACGCCTGCTACATCGCCCGTAGAGCCGTATCCCACTCACGAGAACTTCGTTTGGTCTATCTTGATCAACCCCGCTACACAAGATCTAGAGCATCTCAACGGTTCCGTGGACATGGGATGGGCTCATAAGATGTGTAGCATGTCTTTGAACTGCATGGAAGAGCTCATCCGCGTCGTGCGCAACCGTCCCAAGGACTGGGAGAAGATCGTCTGCGACATTCCTTTCCCGGTCAAGCAGACCATAGTGGCCTTCCCTGACCTCTGCGAGTACTACGACGCCCTCCAGCAAGAGGCCAACGAGGCATTCGGCGGCGGATTCTGAGACTTGTCAACTGCGTCGACTTTAGCTTCGTGGAGTGGGATTATTGTCCCACACTCGGAGTTCCGGCCGCCTAGTAACGACAATAACAGTCGCGTAAGGTCTGTTGATGGTTTCGCCTAGGCGATGTTTACATGACGATCAGGGGTATGTTTGTATGGTGTTTCTCTAACGAGAATTAATAGTGGGTTGATTCCTTTTTGTTATCATGGCATTTCACGGTGGGCACTGATGGAGTTTCGGCGCGATCTTGTTGGAGGAGTATCCCGGCAGCATCGTCAGTTTCTTTTCATGTTCACGCCCACCGATCTCACGACGTCATGTAACGACCCATGTACAAGGAATGGCTCTGGCGCAGAAGCCCCAGATGTACTGTAGCACAGCTACGCACCAACACGTATAACAAAAATAATTTTCGATACAATAGCCCAAAAGCAATGAGACACACCTCGCGTCGTGATACTGCCACGCCAGATCACGTGGAGACGCGAATACGGGAGGGAATGGCTCCGGGCCTTTCCAAGATTTGCGAATATCCGCGTCATGCACATCATATTAGATTTTCATCACCATCTACTATAACCGTGTCCAGTCGCGCAAACCGCCCCTCTGAAAATGACAGCAACAGCACCAGCACGTTCGCATGGCTTCGATCGCCAACACAGCCTTTTGCAGCTCGACTGCAGCGCCGACCTGCGACACTATTCGCGCAACCTCGGGCCAGGCGTCCAGGAGCGCATCTTCCAGACCACGAGCGACGCCCTGCGGAAACAACTCGACGAGCATCGCGACTTCCTGCTCCGGCATCAGCAGCAGCAACCGCGGCTGGCTCCTACCTCGTCGGTAGTCAGCGGCCCAGCGCCGCCAACTCCTCAGGCATACCCACAGCCTCATCCCTATTCTCAGGCGTCGCAGCCCCCTCCCCTCCAGGCCGCCGCACCGCAGCTCGTCCATCGCCGCCCCGAACCCGCCATCGTCCCCGGCGACATCAGCACATACCCGCTCGCCCTGCGCGATGCCCTGTATTCGCAGAAGCTGATTCCGCGGGCGCATGACGGCCGGTCAGCGTATCATGTGGTAGTCAGCAGCAAGAACCGCGATCTGGGCGAGGATACAAAGGTCGTAGGGACTTGCCCGAGCATGCTGGCAGCGAATGAACTCGCGGCGCGGTACTTTGTCGAACATTGTCTTGTCGATGTTATTGAGCCGAAGTTTACGCAGCTGGCGAGCGGCGCGTTGCACTGCGGTGCGGGACCTCACAACGTTTATGTGCAAGAGGGCAGGATGGAATGATGGACGCATCTGGTAATACAAGATGTCGTGGACCCGGGGCAATGGTCTGGTCCCCAGGTTCCACGGTACCCTTTGTCACCTGCAGGGTCCGCTGCCGTCCTGCATCATACCCGTGCTTTCAACCCGTCAGGCGGTATGTCATGTCCATCAAACATGTCGGACAATCGCATCTGGGATGCGCATCGCCACCACAACCTGATCGACGACTCGCGGGCGATTCCAGAGCTCAGCGATGTTCCTGGTCAACCAGAAATCCGACAAACCGCGAAGTCGTAAGATAAGAAGGGCCAACACGCACCGGTCAGTCACAAGACGTGTCGGGCAACAGGAGTCAGACAGGTAGCATCCTCTCATCGGCGCATGCTGGGGTACTACATGCACAGGGCGAAATCAGCTTGGAGGAAAGGAGTTTTACATTCTTGGAGCGTTTCGTTTTTTTGGGCGGATATGTATTATTATAATCTATTTCGATGATCCATGCGCATCATTGCTGGGACCATAGAGCCCCAGAGCGAGTCAATTAATTCTGTAATCACCTTACAACACTGTCCACCGTCTATACCGCGCTTCTCCGCTTTGACGTCTTTTTATACACCTGTCCAAGCTGTCATGTAGACTTGTCAGTGCCGCCTGTAAGTCGCGCGCGTGACATGTCTACCAGTACCTACTCTTCACCTCTAATCCCTCGTTACCCAAAAGTTACTCGCACCCACGCCAGACGTGAAACGAAGGGAGACGATCGCCGTATCTTCACCGGAAGTCCGTTTCATGCCCACACTTCCCAACAAGGCAGTTTATCAACAAGTGTAGATTGCAGTGTTGGCATGTTCCGGACTCGTTTTGCTCGTCCGCCCGCTACTTGCCGTGATAGCAGGGTCATGCGCTCCGCAACTTGGCATGCCCTTGTCCCTGTGACCGGAACCCTCGCATTGCGGGCTCTTCAGCAACGTCATCAACACTCTTCACCAGAGCGCGCTGGTGTCGCATAAGTTGATTCATATCCTCCGAAGAACGGCAATCGCGCGCTTCATTATACCGCGTCGCATCACGTAGATCCCAGACCCTCAGTGTACCCAGCACAGCGGAACTCGCGACCATCCCTTGCACAAACCCTGCCTCGCCGCAGCCACGCCACGCATAACCTCCTACCCACGCCGCAGCCACACAGCCCGCCATGGCGCCCCCAAACACGCCCTTCGTCTACCTCCTCTGGCACCTCTACCTCGAGCCCATCTTCGCCCTCGGCGGCACATACCACCTCCACTGGGCGCCCGCCGAATACTTTACCTTCATGCCGTCCACATCCGCGTACCACCCCGATTCCCAGATCGCATACGACCAACTCGCATCCGCATACCTCTTCTTCGCCTTCACAGAGGGCGTGTTGATGCGCGTTGTGAAGGATCGGAAGACGTGGTGGTGGATTGTGCTGGGGCTGATACTGTGTGATTTGGGGCATTGCTATGCGGCTTGGTGTGAGATGGGGACGAGGGGGGTGTTGGATCTGGGGAGCTGGAGTCAGAAGGATGTTATTACTAATTCGCTGAATGTGCTGCCGGTGCTTGTGAGGGCGGCGTATTTGGTGGGGCTTGGTGTGCCTGGGGAGGGGGCGGAGAGTAGAAAGGGGGTTGAGGGTAGGAAGGCTCCGAAGAAGGCTTCGAGAAAGGCTTGATCTGAGATGTGATTTTACTGTTGAGATATATATACATTGCGGTTTGATCTGGTTGTATGCAGTATGTCATGGTCAGCCCAACGCAGCCTACATGCTGAAGTCGAGATTCTTGCTTGATACGTTCCTCACATGATGCATGCACGTTCGGCTCTATGAACTAAGAGCTAGCGATGCGGTCTTCAGTGTGTTCGTGTAGTCGACAAGTTCGGGTTATCAAGAAAATATCATGTTGGCGCATATACCGCGGCCGAGACAGGCCGTGGCAGGGTGAGGCGAAGTTTGTGTCGGTTCCAGGTAGCATGATATCTCGATATATACGTGAGACGCTCTACGCGGTCAGAGTTTCAAGGCCTGCAGCATACACGCAATTTCTCCAATCTTCTCGTCTATTCCACGCGCGCGTTCAGCACGGCTGATTCGTCAAGTCTCTGCAGACGGCATGCATGGAAAATATAGCAGCATGTGGGGGGAGTGAGCCGCGGGAGGGCCATGCTGCAGGTCAACATCGAATTCTGCGCGCACTATCGGATTCTTTGAAATGCCATGACGGCGCACTAGCCCTGGAGTCGCTCTCAACACTTTCCCACCAACCCCCATCGAGATGGGAGCCTTCACGTGAAGGTTGCAAACTGCGCGGGCTGCACAGACGGCGACTGGCTTCGGGAGATTCAGCGCGCAGGACGGAGGCAGGCTATGGTCCATGGCCCCAACGGTTGCACGAGCCGGCGTGTGTCTAATTGGCGGGCGGGGCACAGTGATGCGCGACTAAATGGGGAAGCTCCCGCAGCTGTCAGGTTAGCAGAGCAGGCGCCGGCACTGTCTGACGACGGTCTTCCGTGCAACTTGCGTAAAGATGACCGTCGTCGAGTCAAGGCCTTCGCTGATTGCAGTGCGACGGTGGAGAGGCCCACCAAACGCGCTGTGCGTGCCGGTGTGGCCGTACGTCATACCGCGGGGCTGAAATCTTGCAATTTGCGGCCATGGACACGAAAGTATCAAGTACGCCCCTTGCCGTAAGCCGCACGCCTCATCCAGGAACAGCAGCCAGATATCCTGAATTTGCCCAACCCCCAGCCCAGCACGCCGGCAGCACTTTCTTGCTTGGGCCCCGACTGACACGCGTAACTAAAGGCGTGGCTTCCCTACTACCTGCTTCATCACGATCGATCGAAGCTGCCGGAAATTTCACTGCGCGCGCCCACCGCCTCTATAACTTCACCTCGTCTGCCCCAAGCCATTGCGCAGGACCCGCTTCTCCCGCCTATATCTGATTGCCATTTCTCCACCATTTCTACAACCTCAATCTCTGATCAGCGGGCGCCCACGCCAGACTGCTGCCCAACATGACCACCCACGTCGTCTCCCTGTAGGTACCGCTTTTCACTTGTCAGCCTGTAGATAGCGCATCGTGACTGTTGCCTGCTCCTCCGTGTTCGCCCTTTAACAGCGCTAGTTTCCTCCCGTATACCGTCGACTTTCACGAGTCCAAGTCCAACCCCCCAAGCCCGCCAGACGCCGCTCCCCCGAAGCTGAGCGAGACCGCCCGCGAGTCCTCCGCTACTAGCATAGCCAAATCGCGGCCCGTCAGCAAGAATGCAACCGAAGAGCAGACTCCGAGCCTCCTTAAGCGGGCGCCGCCGACACACATCCAGCTGCCCAAGACGCCCATGCGCATGACGGAGCATGAGGACTTCTTCACCCCCGGCCAGCCCAGCGCGGCCACGCACTTCCCCAAGCCAGCAGACCCCCGGGGCCTGGTACGTAGCGATGCCCATGTCCCCGAATGGGGTACTACCGGTCTCTTCTTCAACCAGCCCATGTCCAGGGCCGAGCCAGCGCCCCCCGACACCATCCTCGAATACGCAAAGGCGCAGGAGCGGGCGCAGGCCCAGAAGGAGCGCATGAAGGGCTCTCACGCCGGCAAGCCTACAACGGACCCGCGATGGGCCACCGAGTACTCCGTCGTGCCAGCTGTCCAGGGCAACGGCGGCCTGACCAACGCGCTGCGCTGTGCCGTGGACAACAAATGTATTAGTGACACCATCACCGTCGGCTTGATCGGATTCCCCACAGACAGCTTGAACGAGGAGAAGAAGACGGAGATCTACGAGAAGCTCGAGGAGGAGCAGGACGCCCTCACCGTCTTCGTGAGCGATAAGGACTTCGATGGCCACTATGCGCACTACTGCAAGACCATCCTGTGGCCAGTCTTCCACTACATCATCCCCGACCACCCCAAGAGCAAGGCTTTCCTCGACCACTCATGGGTCTTCTACGTCAAGGTCAACCAGGCCTTTGCCGACAAGGTCGTCAAGAACTACAAGCGCGGAGATGTCATTTGGATCCATGACTACCACCTGTGTCTGGTCCCACAGATGATCCGCGAGAAGCTTCCAGATGCACAGATCGGCTTCTTCCTCCACACTGCGTTCCCCTCCTCCGAGGTCTTCCGCTGCTTGGCCGCGCGGAAGGAGCTGCTCAACGGCATGCTCGGGGCGAACCTAGTCGCTTTCCAGACACCAGAGTATTCCCACCACTTCCTGCAGACGTGCAGTCGAATTCTCTCCGTCGAGGCTACTGAGGACGGTGTCCAACTTGAGAACCGCTTCGTCAACGTACACTCATCGCCTATCGGCATTGATCCTCGCGCTCTCGCCCTGGCCCGCGAGGAACCCGAGGTGCTAGAGTGGATTCAGACCATGCAGAAGCGGTACGAGGGCAAGAAGGTCATCGTTGCTCGCGACAAGCTCGACAACATCCGTGGTGTCAGGCAGAAGCTGTTAGCGTTCGAGTTGTTCCTCAACAAGAACCCCGAGTGGAAAGACAAGGTTGTTATGATCCAAGTCGCCACATCTACCACCGAAGACACTGAACTCGCTGCAACCGTCTCAGAGATCGTCACTCGCATCGACGCGGTTCACTCAACCTTGACGCATAACCCTCTCGTATTCCTGAGGCAGGATATCGCTTTTTCGCAATATCTCGCGCTTCTTTCCATTGCCGATGCCCTCGCGATTACCAGTCTTCGTGAAGGCATGAACCTTACTTGCCACGAATTCGTCATCTGCCAGGACGGTCGCGCGAGTCCAAAGAAGCACGGTCCTGTCATCCTCAGTGAGTTCACCGGAAGTGCTTCAGTCTTCCAAGGTGCCGACTTGGCTGTGAACCCCTGGGACTACAACAGCATCGCACAAGCGTTCAAGGTCGCCTTGGAGATGACTGATTCCGAAAAGGAACGCAGATATACCAAGTTGCGCGATACGGTTATGCACCAGACTGGTGACTTCTGGGTTAACAACCTCAGCTGCCATCTCTCAAAGGTCCACGAGGAGCAGTTCAAGCGCGACACCATGTCCATTCCCCGTCTTTCGTCCAGCAATCTTGCGCGTACCTACCAGGCATCTCAGCGACGACTCTTTGTACTCGACTACGAAGGCACCCTCGCATCCTACGGATCTGTTAACAACACCGTCCTGGCGAACACCGAGCGTGTCATTGTCGTGCTGAACGACCTTGTTGCTGATGACAAGAACGATGTTTACGTCATGACTGGACGTACTGTTCGAGAGACTGAGCTCATCTTTAACCGCGTGCGAGGTCTCGGTCTCATCGCGGAGAATGGTTGCTTCTTGCGCGAACCCAGCGCGAAAGAGTGGATACAATTTCCCGACGAAGAGAAGACTGTGAAATGGAAAGACTCCGTCAAGCCCATCTTGCAGTACTACCTCGAGCGTGTCGAGGGTAGTTGGGTTGAAGAGCGCCACTGCTCCATGATCTTCCACTACAGAGCGCCCAACGACAAGGATGATTCCGCAAGCCGACATGCTGGTGACTGTGCCAACCACATTAACGATGCATGTGAGCAGCAGCGCATAAAGGCGGTTCCCACTAAGGACTCAGTTGTCATCGAGCCAATCGACTTTGACAAAGCTTCCGCTTCGCAATACATCTTCAGCAAGTACCCTGAGAAGGGTCGACCTGACTTTGTGTTCGCGGCTGGAAACGACCGAAGTGACGAGGGTGTCTTCCGCTGGGCAGAGCAGCTGAAGGAGGAATGGAAGGTTCCCAATGTTCAGACCGTCACCGTCGGTGATCGCAACTCAATCGCCATGTCGACATTGCCCAACGGCGCAACCGGTAAGTTCGCATTCTTGAATTTTCAACAAGACTCCACTAACACATCCCGCAGGTCTTCTCGGCGCCCTGAGCAAACTCGCGAAGAACCCTCGTACACCTTGAAACATTAGGTACTTTGGGCAAGCGAGCAAACATGAACCTCTCTGCACGGGATATGTCTAGCGCATTTCGATACCCTCCTTACGACCTGATGATTGGTAATGGTAACGAAAGCACGGGGAACTTACTTTGGAATGAAGGGGGATTGCGAAAGGGATGTTACGCACGAATGAATGTCAAGTACTGCATGGGTGGAGTCCGGTTGGTCTTTTCCTATGATAGATCTTTTCTACTCTCAATACGGAACCTAGAATCTTCTTCATGCTAGTATTGCTAAGATATGTACAGTGATGATGTGATAGTGCTGTGGAGTCTATCAATCTCATCAATACGTGACCGACTAACGACAATCGAGGCATGTGTGAAGGGCTACTGTGGCTCACGCCACGTCTGGCATATCTTTGGACATGCATAAACAGCGATCCCGTTGACGTCGCGTCAGTGCGAAGTTGAGATAAAGTATGCCAGCCTCCAAATGCACAGACGTGGGTGTATAATGTCGCTCCTTAGCTTCGACGAAACACAACTTGGACAAAACTTAGGTACAATATAGCACACAAACACTTCATAAGTTGAATGGTGACACTGCTTTATTCATTCAGATAGCAACTGCAGTCCACGCTGCAAACACAAAGATATATACCACGAAAGATATTGAGAAGCGAATCAACAAGGCATCAAGAAGGGTATCGCTTAAATCAAAAAGAATCATCCATCATCAAAAACCCCAAGCCCATCAACCAAACCCCTCTCCTTCCTCCCTTTCTCTCAGTCTCACTGCACTACTCTAAGCAAAGTTGCCACCAGCAGTCTTCTTACTATCCGCCGCAATACTAACGCCCTTGACCACAATCTCCTTGCCCCCCTCACTCGTAATCTTAACATCGACGCTGTCCGCGCCAAAGCCAGCCGGGTTCTCGAAGAAGTTGTACGGCTTGCGGGTAGTCGGCTGCCAGGTCTTGCCAGAGTCGACGGAGACTTCGAGTTTGGAGACGGCGACGTTGGAGTTCATGACTTGCATGCTGAACCAGAATTTGGAGGTGCCGGATTTGTTCTTGAGGACGATGGGGGTGGTGATGCCGCAGGGGACGGGGGTCCAGTCGACGTTGATGACGCCCTTGGAGGGCTCTGCCAGTTTGGCGAAGCCGTCGGGGTAGAGGTCGAGGTGGTTGGGGCCGCAGCTGGGGGTGGGGTTAGTATGTGTTTTTTGTGAGATTTGTACGGTGGGATTGCTTACCCTGGGCATTGGTCGGTGACCATGGCGGTGATTTTGTTACCGTTAGGGCCGGTTACGCTGACGCACACACCGCAGGCGTTGCCGTTGTCCCAGTTGGAGTCGGAGAGCGCGGTGCCGTAGAGACCGGCGGGGATGGTGTAGCCAACGAAAGAGCACATGCCGCCCTCAGTGTTTCCGCCGTAGAAAGTGGCTTCGCCGCGCTTGGAGGCGGCAGATGATACGGCAGCCTTGTCAGCGGGAGCCGCGGCCTGGGATGCGGCAGGAGCTGGAGCCTTGGACTCGGAGGCAGGCACTGCGGCAGCGCTGGATGACTGGGCGGCAGCGTAAGACTTTGATGCATCACTCTGGGGGATCGGAGTGTAGGCAAGCGAGCTGTAGTCTAGCTTGGTGGTCGGGAGGACGCTCATCGTAGGGTAGGAGGGCGAGTCGGAAGATCCTGCAGGCTTGAAGAGAGCAGAGGTGGTGGCGTTGCCATAGGGAGCACCAGTTGGGTGAACGGTGACGGTGGTGAGGATCTCCTTGGTGCTGGTGGATGTGACATCTTCGACAGCGTCGGGAGTAGCAGAGCCAGCACCGGGGGTGACAGTGACGTAGACTTTCTCGTAGGTGGTGGTGTAGACAGTGCTCCTGGAAGAGCAAGCGCCAGACTTGCTAGCGGTAGCGTCGGCAACATCCACGGGCTTTGCAGTCTCGTACACTGTTTCAGTTGCGGTCGTGGTGACAGTCTGCTGGGAGCAGACGGACTCAGCAACAGCGAGACCCGCGATGGGGAGAAGAGAGAAGAAGGTGGACTTCATGGTGTCTGATGACTGTTTGATGGAGTGACGGAAGATGGAATTCGAACGACGACTTGTTGGAAAAGACTGTATAGGATCGTATCAACGAGTCCAAGTAATGAATGGCAGCAGCTCAGCGGCTTGCAAAAAAAGATGGAAGTTCGACTTCGTGTTGAGAGAGTTACCAGAAGCTTGAAGCTCTACGAAAGGGCGTCCCCGCCCTACATAAAGGCCTCGAACAACGCTTACATCTCATTTTACTTGACTAACCCAACGCAGCGCCACGCAGTAAACTAACATGTGGAAATTTGCGCTCGGGAGGAATGCGAATAAGCTCATCTCTTGATCACCAATTCCGTTGTCTCGACCCACCGAACGTAGCGGGAAAATGCCGGCTAGGTACCCACGCGCTTCTCGCCTTTTTCTAGTCCAGCCCCAGTGATATGCATCCGTTGATTGACGGGCGTTTGGGGTTGAGCAAGTCAGAGTCCGTTTCAGAAAATGCTTGTGTCAATGCTTGGTATGATGAGTTGGGGGCATTGTGAGTCGTGTGGCGCTAAGGCGTAGGATGCGCTAAAAGGCGATCAAACATGCGTGAGATGAGAAGACGGGAACATGCAGTATTTTTGAAATTCGCTGCCGGGAACCGGATTTTGAAAAGTAGAACACCGCAAGCGACGTTCTACAACTGCTTGTTGCGCAGCCGTAGCATGATGCGTTGTTTAGCAGTAACGCCGCGAGTGTGTTGCGTGGCTATGCGATACTAATTCGGGAACCAAAGCGTTTCAAGGAAACCGATTTGTGGCACTTCGGGACTTTATCGGCCGTGTAGTACAGTCGCGTGGTAAGTACTAGTGAGTCTAGAACCAGTGTATATATTACACGAAATACCGAGCGTAGTCCGGTGATGGTCCGGTGGATATTGTTGACTCGGTAGGCGCCCGCAACATCGTCGACGAACCTGCTACATGATCCCGCGTTCTCTACATTGCGCTTAAATGGAACCCATTCTGTAGATTGTTGACCATATCAGAACTGTAAATCCATAAACGGATGTAAGGATGCGTAGATGTGGATCCCAAGTCTTCTCCATACAAGTACAACAGGCTAGAGCATACAATGACAGCCCCGCGATGGCGTCGGTGGTACTCCTACCATCAATCTAAATATCGGCTCCTTCCAGAGAGATTGTTCGCTGAGAATCCGCTTGCATTCGAGTGTAGCCAGAGTTGTCGTAGTCGCAGTGACAGCACACACGTCGAAGTCTCCGCTTGGAACAGGGCCATGCCAACCAGAACCGCTGCGATGTCGCGACATCTTGGTCTTCGCAAAGAATACGAGAGTATTTTCTTCCTGGTCATCTTTGACTTGTATGATGAACCAATCGCGCTTGAGCGCGTTCTCGCCTTGCTTCGTCGCCGAGTAGAGTTGTGGACGGCGTAATCTAGCAACTAATGACAAGCTGCCGTCATCTGGACGTTCATTCCACAACGATGCAGAAGTTGTTCATTCCCGGTCCGTCTCTGATCTTCCTTTTCTCAGCCGTCGTAGCCTTAGGCTCATTCGTCAAGGTAAACAAGTAGTAGCACAGCTTTGAAGTGTTTTTGCTGAATCTCATCGTGAAACCTAGATCGCCCATGATTCCCAGAAACAGATCTTCGTCGAGATAGCGTGAGTTGTCGACGCACGGTAGAGGTAGAACAAAGAATAGAGCTGGCAACACCGAATCGGCCGTCTCAGTCCATGCAACGCCCTTTCTCAAGAACTTGGTGATGCGTTTGAGCATCTCGCCTCGACCAACTGCATCCGGAACATAGTTGAGTACGAGAGATAGGGAGATAATATCGAAGCGCTCATCGTCGCATGTAGGAAGTGGCCGCTCCATGAAATCCTGCTTTTCGATGCCCGGCCCTTGACTGTTCAGATCGATCCTCGTCATGTCGATGACGCTTGCGTACTTGGAGATCTCGTTCTTGGTTGACAAAGCTCCAACTTCGAGACATCTGAGTTCGGCGTCGCCAGCCCTACGACGATCCCGTGCTTTGGGGTCCAAAACCTTGGATTGCTGGAGCCAGTCGACTAACAGCTTGCTAGAATCACCACCCCTGTCTTTCGCCTGACCTTGCTTGCTTGCAGCCTGGTACATCTTGATGCCTCCATTCTTCTCGATAGCTCGCGCAATCTCTTCTGCTGAGCTCACATCCCCTTTCTTCAAGGCTGCTGCATGCTCCTTCTGTAGTCGGTGATGGGTGCGAATGATAGTCCTGGAGCGCTCCGAGGTCATACGCTCTTTCGGCTTGCTGACGGGTGGTCGGCCATGCGACAGAGTCTTTTGGCGCTTTTTCACGGCCATGACGATTTTGATGTTGCAGTCACATGGCTGAGGTAAGGTGATGGTTGAGCGACGCCGAGAGCTCAGATGCAAGGATTTGGCGCTAGTGTGTTAGCGTGCTTTCTTCCCACACTCAACTTGTAGCCGGAGCAAAAACCACAACTTTTCGATTGCGACTCTCGACACTAACTCCAGGACCACCACAACCGCCAAAATGGGACCCAAGGCCGTATCCAAGAGTACGTCAACGCAGACACCGTAACTGCGAAATCGAGGAGGAGCATACATGTCGCAAAGTGGCACCGGACCGCGGCAGCAGTCTGTGGAAAAGGGAACTTTGCGAATGCGCCTCGATCAGCGACCCTCCTATTGCGCTCATCGCTAACATCCTTCACAGCCCCTACCAAGACTGGCAAGCAGGCCAATGCTGCTGCCAAAGCGGCCCTCCGCGGCGTAAGCCTCCCTTGATCCTCTTGAGTCGTGTCAGAAACATACCTCTGACGGGCTGTACTTCTCGTGTGATGGGCACAATTAACGAGATGACAGTCGTATGCGAACAAGAAGCGCGCGATCAGGAAGAACACCAGCTTCCACCGGTATGCCCGACTCCAACGCTGCGAGATGTCGCCTGCTAACGTGCCGCAGCCCCAAGACCCTCGAGCTGTCCCGCGCCGGCAAGTACCCTCGCAAGTCGGTCCCCCATGCCCCCCGCATGGACGCCGAGAAGGTTCTCATCCACCCTCTCAACACCGAGTCGGCCATGAAGAAGATTGAGGAGAACAACACCCTCGTCTTCATCTGCAACGTCAAGGCCAACAAGCGCCAAATCGCCGCCGCCCTCAAGAAGCAGTACGACGTCAGCTGCGTCAAGATCAACACCCTGATCCGCCCCGACGGCTCAAAGAAGGCTTTCTGCCGCCTCACCGCCGATGTCGACGCTCTCGACATTGCGGCCACCAAGCTCGCCATCGTTTAAAGAGGTGGTCTCTGTATAAGGGAAGGCATGGTCATGATAGGGTCTGGTTATACCTGGCAATGGAAAAAGCGATGTGATATGCATGGCGGGCGTTCATGGGATAAACGTAGTCACGGTGACTCGAATGAATCAGATTTCCACATGACGCCAAGTTGGACTTGGTCCTCAACAACCTTTACATTTCCGTGCTGTGACATTGTTCTTTCCTGAATTGTGATTCCTGGACATGCGACACAGCTCGATCTTTCAGATATAGAGACATTCAAATAGCCATGAAAGTTTGCTCGGTAGGAGAGATCAATGCAATGCTGGACGCACCGCAATGTCTACCATGTACCTCATATCTCCATTCCGAATGCCATACACCCGACGGTTCCGTCATGCAGTGTTATACAGATCATAAAGTCCCCTCATTATCATACACATCCTGTCTCGTCACTTGTATCACCCCCTCTCTTCCCATACCCCATCTATCCCCTCAACCTCTCCAACTCCCTCAGCACAACCATATTCGCGTCCAAGAACCGATCCACACACTGCCGCATGCACGGCTCCTCGTACTTGTCCAATTTGCCCGCCTTGACGGTACCCGCGGGGATGCATTTGCGGAAACATGTGTCGGTGAGGGAGTGTATCGCTATTTGGAGGAGTTGAGTTAGCGAATGGGTACTTATGGGAGTGGGACATGGGAAGGCGGGAAGGAAGGGCTTTGGGTGGAGGGTGTGATGGTCGAGGGCGGTTGTATCCACAGAGGGAGGTGGTAGAGGCATAGTGCATAGACTCAATTCGTCGCAAGAGAGCTCCTAGAGGGATAAAAAGACGTACAAGATTGAATCCTAGCCTTCTGTCCCTCATTCATAGCGAATTGCTGCAGTTCCTGCTTGTCGCGGTCGGACAGCTTGCTCAAGTCGGCGTTGCCGAAACCGCCACCACCTAGGGAGTCCATCTTTTCTTCTTGTGTGTATGTGTAGTCGCAAGACTGCGCCGGCGTGTATCGTGGGGGTTTTCGGGTGGAGGACGGAGACGGTGTGGCTGGTTGCAAGTGCGGGCTGTAGTTTTTGTCTGGATTGACGTACTTGAAGCTTTGCGCATCGGAGGTTCAGCCGCGGAGGGACCGATGGGGGTTAGTCAGCCTTGGGGAAGACGGACACACTCAAGATTTGGGTTTGCTGACTTCCTTGTCTCTCTTCAACGATTTTGAGTCCCATGGTTGTTTTTTTCTTATTGCAAGTTCCGGGAGTGCTGGGTATGTATGGGTGTTGGATTGGCAACAGGTAAGATGTTGTGATTAAAACCGACAACAAGACGCTCAGTCTACGGACTTTGGCAGTGTCATCCTCAACACATGCTCCCGAATGACATTTCTTCCGTCCTCACTTCTTCGCATAACTCGCGTCTCATTGTATACATCAGCCACCCCCATACCTGCCTCCTCATTTGCTGCAGACGCCGTGGTACCAGCAACGTAAAACAGGAAATACGGCCAGTTCTCGTCTTCCATCCCCTTGAACACTCTCACCTTGGAGATGGACTTGTTACCTCCCAACCGCCGCTTATGCTGCATAAGGAAGTAGCCAGCCCATCGCCCAACAGGACTTCCCAACAGAGCTTTCCCAGCGTCCGTCTCCATGCTGAAATCGGTTCCTGGCCAGGGCTCCGGCACCTCCCCCTTCGGTGGCGACAGCGTACGCCGGGCACGCTTAACGTGTTGACGCGTCTCTGGATTCATGATCTGCATAACGAACAGGTACCTGATGTTCTGGAACTCTCGCGGGTTGGTATGAACGCGATTCCAGACCGCCCACGCCATATCCGAGACACTGCGTATCGCAGGCAAGGTATCGGCAGGGGGGTCTTCAGACCATAGATTTCTTGCATTTCTTGCGGGAGAGTAGAGAAGGTTTCCGTATATTGCGCCTGCCTGTGAGTTGGCGCCAATATTGAATTCTGCGCCCGTAGCACGATATTCCTTGCCGCAGACCTCGTACCGTTGATGCTCCAATTCCGGCATTTCGCCCTTTTCGTCCTTCTTCATGGCTGGACCGTTGGCATGCTCGATTTGGAAACAATGGTTTGGACCACCCTGGCGCATGCTCTTGGTTCCGATGGCTAGTTCGTCAAAGGCTGTCTTCATGTAGGGGTCGTCAAAGTCACATGCTTCGTCTGCTGACTTCGCGAGCTCCTCAGTCGCATCGTTGTAACCCCATTCACGTAGCTTGGCGACGAGGTCCCCGTCGAATGGACTTTCAGCAGTGGTGCCTAGGCCGTAGAGAGCCGCGGCTTGAGCGTCGCTGGAACTCATGCCTTGGAGGAGCTTGGCGCCACGGGCGACAGCCAGTGTCCATAAGTCACCAGCGGCGGTTCTGACTGGGCCAGTTCCGGTAGCGGAGTGGAGTTTGTTGTTGAAGGTGGTATTGGTTGTCAAGATGAGGGTAGTGTTAGAAATACCAGCCGGGGGAACAATAGCCACAATATAAGTTGCGGAAAGCAGTAACAGCCCCATCGAGCGTGACGTGAGATACGATGCGCGCATCTTCAGTTAGTTGGAAGGGGGTTTGAATAGTTGGGGATAGGAGTCGAGACCGGTGAGTCTATGCAGGATATCGAGTAAAGTTGAGAGAGCAAACGCAGCCAGTAAGTGAGCGGTGGAGCGGCGGAGTCCAGTTTGGCCTCCATTCGCACTAACACTCAAGAAGCATATTCAAACCCATTCAAACCATTCACTGCGCCTTGGTCACATGATTCCCAAATTCTGTTCTGCACACTTGCACGCCCAGATTTCAACTGCTACACAGCCCTCACACTCTCTTCTCAAGAAGCATACTACGAGACTGGTGACCTTGAACTTACATGGTGCTATGCAAAATAATATTTCATATCGAGAACAACCCTTCAAATGCACAAGAACGCCATGCCCATTACCACCCGGATATCAAACTTTTACTAAACAAACACATTACCAGACAACTATAATCATTCCGACATCGTCATGATCTCCATACTTTCGTTCCTAAGCCCCAATCATCTCTTTGGGCAGGCATGCAAAAACAGTGCTGATGATAGCCATAATAGTGCTGACGACAATCAACACCCAGTTCATCGTCTTCTCCCCACTAGATATCTCTTTTCCGAACAATTTCAAGTGAAACGCCAAGGGTAGGATGATGCAAATGCTAAAGCAGGCGACACTGCCGAGAAGTGTCATGATGCGGTCGAATGAAGGGAATACGATTGCGATGATAACGAAGATGACAATGGTAACGATGCGAAGGGTGATCTTGAGCGCTCCTCGAGTGAGTCCGCTCATGCCGTCAATGGACGAGGACATGGCCAGAGAGCGCGTGTCCAGACCGAAGAGAACTTCCAACGTGCTGACGATAGGGCGTGCGTTGAGCGGGATCTTGGTCAACGGAATGATGGCGATGCAGATGGCGATGAAAACGGATATGCCTTGAGGAAAGCCTTTGGTGAGGAAGATGTTGCTTGTCACTTCTTCTTTGACACCGTCTCCGAACATGAGGATACCAGCGCAGGCCATGCCGACATCGATCAAGTAGGTGAAGATGTAGGTGACATTGACGGCCTTCCTGTACTTGTATGGGTGTCGCATGTCGCGGTAGATGTTTGGGAAAACAGAGTGACCACCCCAAGGGGACATGAGAAGGCCAATGGAGAGTGGTACGGTCATCCAGTTGTCGGGGAACAGGTATTGAGTCATGGGCTGGCGGATGGAGCCGGGAGCGTCGGGTTTGGCAAGTCCATCGACCCATATAGCGAGGGTGACTATTCCATGTTAGCTGACGAATATGATGCATGTAGTTGTTGACTCACTTCCAAAGCAAGACATTACACCCAGAATAGATGTGAATGACAGAAAGCGGAGGGGTAGGAAGCTCAATGGTATCAAGATCAGCCCACAGACAATCTTCCACTGGAAAACGTCCCAACCGGGGATGAGAGCGTCCATGCTGTCAGCGAAAAGCACGACCAGCGCTACACATGCTGCTAGCAACTCCAAGGAGAATAGGATACTAGTGGCTACCCGCGCTTTGGTTCCAAAAGAGACGTAGGCAAGATCAGCAAAGGTAATGAGAGAACCATCAACGTCGAGACATTTGGCTAGGAGCTTTGCAGTGTAGCCAGTCACTATGGCAGACCATGCGAGGAAAACCATGCCTATCAGCCATCCAGAGTACTTGAGTGCAAGTGGCAATGTGAGCAGTCCAACGCCGACCAGGACGTTGACGGAGTTGAAGATTGTCTGGGGCAGGGTGGATTGACCAACAACTACGTTGATAATGTGTCCGTCCTCCTCGACCTGCTTGACCAGGAGCGGCTCTCGTTCTTGTTCTGGCTCCCCAACGCCCTTCATCTGTTGCTCTGTGAAGAGTCGGCCGGCATGGCGCATGGACGACTCGTTGACGCGCGAACTCAGACTGCCGTATCCCGTGCCATAACTCGCGCCGAAGGGTGACGATAGCGAAGGTTCGATCTGGAAGATGCTCGACCCTCTCCCTCTCAGGCGCTGTTCGACGCCGTTGGGCAGCAGCTGGCTCCGCTCGGTCGCGCCATTCTCCTCGTCTGTGATGGCATTGTCGGATGCGCGTCTGCCCTCGTTCTGGAAGGCCTGTCGCAGGGCGGACCGTTGGTCGGGTACTGGCGTGGGCAGTCCGCTGCGCGAGAAGTCGGACTCCTCTGTGTCGTCGCCTTCGTCGTCTGTCTCGACACGGAAGGAAGGGCGCACGGGGGTGATCTCGAAGAAGCCGGCTGCCCGCTGCCACGATCGCGCAAAGTTGTTGATACTGTTGACGCCTCCAACTTCGCCCAGCGCGCTAATCTGCTGTCCTACGGAAGACCTGCTTTCTGTTAGCTGCAGTGTCACGCGAGCGGCGCGATATGCTCACCTCCGCCTGCGCAGCTCTCCCGCGGTGCCAGTCCACCTCCCGGCATTGCTCTCTCCACTGGGCCGCCTCGAGAGCTCGTCCCACTGCACATGGCTCTCCGTATCTGAGTCGATGGATGGGCGGTTGGAGTCGTAGGCGCTCCAGGCGGATGGCTGCTTTCCTCTGTTATCCATGGTGAGTACGTCAGGGCGTCACGACAGATGGAGCAGGCGCGACCAAGAAGAACGTATGGGGCAGGCCAGGCGATATATCGTCTAAAACTGTTGATTCAAACCCTGCAGGGAGGCGGGAGCTACTTGAGTCGATAGCTGGCTATCGTCGGGATGAGATTGCGCCTGGTGGATTGCGGGTGATAGCCGCTATCCATGACCGTCCTGATTATATAAAGAAGCGCCGAGCGAGGCACGTCTGCCATAGAACGACGCAGAAAGTCAAGATGGCTATCACGAGGGATTCATGCGGCCCCGCCGGTCTGCCGTCATAGCTGCCCCCAGCCGGAGCTACCCAAGGCACGCGCTGATAACGGGTTACTGCACATGCGCTGCTGCTGCTCACCATGCCCGCCGCCCGCTGAGTGGCCGTGCAAGCGAGCCTCTGTCAGCGCCCAGTCGACTGCCCTACCGTGACTGTGCTGCCTTACGGGCACAGTCAGGGACAAATAAATTCACATAAGCCGAGTGGGCTGCCGTTTGCCTCTCCTGAAGACTTTCGCATTCACGTAGCCAAGGCGCGCAGTAGTCACAGGCCGCGCTCTCCACCCTCCTCCCGCCGCCAGTCGGCAGCTACGTCGCTTGTTCTTGCCCCTCGCCGAACAAGAAAATCTCTCGACCCCACCAACACCACTACCTCACCTCGACACCACCGCCGCGACCATGTCGTCCGGGAAGAATGAGCAGCCCAATGAGGCTGAAAAGAACATTGAGATCTGGAAGGTCAAGAAGCTAATCAAGCGCCTCGAAGCAGCCCGCGGAAATGGCACATCCATGATTTCCCTCATCATCCGTAGGTGACACCTGACGACCTAGCAAAATGCCGCAGACTGACCGTTGTAGCGCCCAAGGATCAGGTTTCACGTGCCGCGAAGATGTTGGCTGAAGAATTCGTGAGTACCAGGACACCCTGCGCCGGCGCCGTCACTAATTTTCCAGGGTACCGCCTCCAACATCAAGTCGCGCGTCAACCGTCTCTCCGTCCTGTCCGCCATTACCTCGACCCAGCAGCGCCTCAAGCTCTACTCAAAGGTCCCGCCCAATGGCCTCGTTGTCTACTGCGGTGAAATTATCACCGCGGAAGGCAAGGAGCGCAAGATCAACATCGACTTCGAGCCCTTCAAGCCTATCAACACGTCGCTATACCTTTGCGACAACAAATTCCATACCGAGGCCCTGAGCGAACTGCTAGAGTCGGATCAGAAGTTTGGCTTCATCATCATGGACGGAAACGGTGCGCTCTTTGGCACTCTGTCTGGAAACACGCGTGAGATTGTCCACAAGTGAGTGCGACCAATACCTTTTAGCATACAGCTCACTAATCGGTGCAGGTTCTCCGTCGATCTCCCCAAGAAGCACGGCCGTGGTGGTCAATCCGCTCTGCGTTTCGCCCGTCTTCGTGAAGAGAAGCGCCACAACTACGTCCGCAAGGTCGCCGAACTGGCTGTACAGAACTTCATCACCGCCGACAAGGTCAACGTAGCCGGTATTATTCTCGCTGGTTCCGCCGACTTCAAGAACGACCTCAACCAGTCCGATCTGTTCGACAACCGTCTGCAGTCCAAGGTCATCAAGGTCGTCGACGTGTCCTACGGAGGCGAGAACGGTTTCAACCAGGCCATCGAGTTGGCTGGCGAGACCCTCAGCAACGTCAAGTTCATTCAGGAGAAGAAGCTCATCAACGAGTACTTTGACCACATCTCCAAGGACTCCGGCAAGGTCTGCTACGGTATCGACGACACCCTGAAGGCTCTGGAGGCTGGTGCTGCTGAGACTCTGATTGTCTTTGAGAACCTGGAGATCACTCGCTGGGTTCTCAAGAGCTCTGCGGGCGCGGAAATTATCCTCCACACCACCAAGCAGCAAGAAGAGGACCGAAGCATATTCATGGACAAGGAAACCGGCCAAGAGATGGAAGTCATCGATCAAGGCTCTATGCTTGAGTGGCTCGCCGAAAAGTACCGCGACTTTGGTGCCAACCTGGAGTTTGTTTCCGACCGTTCTTCCGAGGGCAACCAGTTCGTCAAGGGCTTTGGTGGTATCGGCGCCATCCTCCGTTATGCGCTCAACTTTGAGCAACTGCAAGACTTCGACGAAGATGAAGATGAATTCTACGATGATTGACGGTTGTGCGCCCTCGCTGACTGCGAGGTAGCGTCCCCACTCGCTTCGAGTGACGGAACGTCCGCTACCTGCGCGAAAAGTCAAAAAGACGTGTCCGAGATCAAGGCCGGAGTAGTCGAAGCAACGACACTTCGCCTTTCCAGATTGTAAGATGGGAGTGCCTATGGAGGGTTTGCAATGTACGACTAGTATCCGTCCCCCAGCAACCATTGACTAATTTTGACAAGGTCGACCAGCACCATTCTTACCACGACCCGCTCTCGCTTGCATGGAGAGGCAGCAGCCTCATACAGGCTCGACCTCTTCAAACCTCGGTCTGAGAAGCTCTAACTTAGCTACAATAAGGACTAGAAAGCATAGGGATCCAGAAGGGTGGCTACCGTCAATTGTCGATTGCGAACCTCTTGAAAAGTAGTCCTTTACGGAAGAAGGACAGGCAGATTGCTCGCCCAATATGCGTCAGCTTGTCGCTCGCTCTACTCCAGCTGAATATAAAATTGATTTGAAAATGAGATTGAGTGTTCGTAGTGATGCGCGTGACGTTCAATGCTTTGTACATGACCCCACCCTTTCGATCAATCTCAAGACAAACATTAGGGCGCAACACGCCCCATGGGGATGACAAGTTAGTCTTTGCTTTTACTAGCGCCGATGCCGGGTTCCGACGTCATTCCGAGATTTGGTGATTTATCTTTGTACATTCGCAACATCTCAGGAACCACGCACAAACATGGCAGATGAAAAGAGACCGATCGTGGCTTTCTTAGGTCCTGAGGGCAGCTACACACATCAGGTGAGTCGAATTAAAAAGCGGAATAGAGGTGATTGAGTTCCCCCACTCAAATCTAGCCATCAGCTTGAACAGACAATGTCACTGGTTCAGTCTTTCGTCACAACCACTTTTCCGTATATCCTTCCTTCCGTCACAGAAATTGGATTACATACGTATTCCTCTCTCATCCCCCATTGAGATCAACCTCTCACCACCCAACCCCCACATCCCCAATCTAACAAAACCCCCCACAGGCCGCCCTCTCCGCCTTCCCCCCAGCCTCACCAACAACCCCACGCGTAACCCTCACCCCCTCCATAACAATCGAAGACGTCTTCTCCGCCGTCCAATCCGGCATCGCATACCGCGGCGTCGTGCCCTTTGAAAACAGCTCAAACGGCAGCGTAGTCTTCACCCTCGACCTCTTCGCCGACCTAAACAACAAGTATCCTGATATTCTTGTTACGGGAGAGGCGTATGTGGCTGTTAAGCACTGTTTATTGGGGTATTCAAATGCTTCAAGTACCGGCGAAAGAGATGGAGATGGAAGAGATGGAAGAGATGGCAAAGACGGAAACACCTTCTCGCACATCAAGAAACTGTACTCGCACCCACAGGCCTGGGGCCAGTGTAAGAACTTTCTGGCCAAGTACCTCAAGACGGCTGAGAGGCACGACGTGAGTTCCACGAGCAAAGCCGCGGAAATCGCGAGTCAAGATAAAACCGGCGAGTCCGCAGCCCTATCTAGTGAAATCGCAGCGGAGCTCTTTGGACTGGATGTGCTTGCGAAGGAGATCAATGACAAGAAGGGTAACAGCACGAGGTTCTTCGTCATACGCCGGAAAGACGATGATGCCATGCCATCTACGACCACACCCACACCCACACCCACAACTCCACCGCCACCGCCATCAACCAGCTCTAATAACGCAAACACCTGGAAATCACTCGTTACCTTCACCATCGAGCATTCGAATCCTGGCGCGCTGGCGAATTGTCTGACGGTATTTTCACGTCATGGGATTAATCTGACGAGTATAAATACGAGGCCGAGTGGAGTAAGGAATTGGCATTATGTTTTCTTTGTGGAGTTCAAGGGGAGGAAGACAGATACTGATACCGGGGATGTGGATAAAGCGCTGGGAGAGCTGGATAAGGTGTGTCGGGGGTGGAGGTGGTTGGGGAGTTGGGAGAATAGGCTTGTGGTTGAGGGGGAGATGGAGGGATAGTGAGATGGTGATGGTTAGGTGGAGGGTGGCGGGGGGGAGGAATGAGGGGATCAGAAGGAGATGTTTTGTTTCCTTCAGGGTGGCTTCTAGGGATGGAGGATATCATTTAGATCACATTGACATCTCAACACTCTAAGATGCGTGGAATTGCTCTTTCGTAATCTCGTTCGTGAACTACTCACTACCCGCCAAGGCTATTACTTAACATACAGACGGTTTTTCTTTTTGAATCTCCCGGCACGATGCTGTTCGCCAATGCATCCTCGTAGTCACCACATAGCGCGACAAACACCTACTTCGTCCTGTCAGGAATAGGTTCCTTAGGCGCCCTCCACTCCTTGACAAAAGGCAAGAAGTCAGGCTGACCCGGAATGTATTTCCTTAGCACCTCCGGAACGACGAAGCCCTCGGGTGTCTGGTAGTTCTCAAGGATACAGCAAAGAGTTCGCTCAGTCGCGCACACTGTAACACACAAATTAGTTTCCTGATTCCATTCTCAAGCGAGAAGATGGGGTGCCGGGAGTAACTTACGAGTACCGTTGAGCGCGTGGACATACTCCTTCCTCGTAGCGTTCAACTTCTTAATTCCATGTCTAATCTCCAGCTCGCGAGTCTGGTAGTCGGTGCAGTTGGAAATGGAAACAAGCTCCTTGTACTCTCCACCACCCGTAACGGGGAACCAGGCCTCAAGGTCGCGCTTCATCGAAGCAGCGTTGTTCAGCGCACCAGAAACGATGGCGACCACCTGGTACGGAAGACCTAGGCTCTGGTAGAACTCCTCGGAGTTGGCCAACATCTCATCGAAAGCTTCCCATGACTTCTCGGGGTTTGTGAGGAGGAACTGCTCAACCTTTTCGAACTGGTGTATCCGGAAGATTCCCCATGCGTCTTTGCCGTGCGAACCAGCTTCTTTCCGGAAGTTTGTGGAGTATCCGGCGTACTTTATGGGCAGTTCCTTGTCGTGTAGCCACTCCTCGGAGTGAAGGGCGGAGATGGGTTGTTCTGAGGTGGCGATGAGGTACTTGTCGGTCTCTGGCTTGTCCTTGCTCTCGGTGACCTTGTAGAGTTCCTCGTCGAAATCGGAGAGTTGTGCGGTCTTGGCCATCTGGTCGCGGAGCATGAAGAAGGGCGGTTGGTTGGGTGTGAAGCCTTTGCTGAACTGGGGAATGATCATGTCAGTATAGCGTTCTGTAGAACTCGGTGCTTTGCGCGCTTACCAGGAATTCAAGACCGTAGTTGATGAGCGCTTGGTTGAGGAAGACACCGTATCCAGTCAAGCAGTATCCTCTGTGCCCAACAATCTTGGTGCCTCTCTCCGGGTCGTATCCATTCAACCGCGCAAGTACACCGTGATGTGGGATGCCATCTGCCTTGAACTCTGCTTTCCGGTCCGCAGGAGCCCACGTCTTCTGAACCGCATTGTTGTCCTCGCTGTCGCTAACTGGAACGTCCTTGTACACGTAGTTTCCGACCGTCTTCGTCTTTGTGAGCAGCTTGGCCAGTTTCTCAGCAGCCTCAGCCTCCTTCTCCTTCTTCTCAGCCTCCAACTTCTTCTTTTCCTCGAGCAGCTCGGAGGCATCTTCCTTTGCCTTCTTCTTGGCGCCAATGTTCTTCTGGACCGCGTTTATCTTGGAGCCGAATTGGGTGGCATCGTACTGTGTGCGACGGTGGTCTGTAGCCAGTGTAAGTTCTAGTGACCCTCCCGGCAAGACTTTTGGAGTCGCTCTTGCCTTCAAAGTCTGCGATGATCTCGTCGACGATCTCTACGGGCGCGCATCGCTTCTTCTGGGACTCGCGGATTTTCTGGTCGCAGTATTAGCATGGGAATAACATTCAATGTTGCGCAAGACGAGTCGGGGAATACATACGTCGGGCTCGCCGCCGCGCTCCTTGATGAAGTCGTTTCTGTATAGACGCGAATGTCAGCCCATATCTCTTCATACCCCCAACGCAACCTCCAATCTCGCCCTCTCCATGCCTACTCCCGCAATTCCAGCCCCTCCAAGCCCGACTTCAGCGCGTGCGCATTCAAGCAGCCCCCACTTTCCCCTGGCGCAAAAAAAGAGGCAACGTACATATCGAGCATCCTTTCCGTCTCTCAGCTTGCGTATCACAAGCAGGATCCCGTCGTGTGTGGTGTGAGTAGGCTCGTATCGAGAGATGTTCAAAACGCGGGACTCATCAGTGTCCCGCACCTTACTCAAACAGCGACAGGGATTAGATTGAGCGACCCGCACTAGAGCGAATCAGGACGAGTCTGTTCAGAACGCTTGGCGTTTTCTGCTTTGGCTGGGATACCACGCGGATTGAAAGTGCTGCACTCGATGGGCGGGATGCGAAACTGCCTTATTGGGAAGGTAGAAATGAATGACGTATGCAACGGTGATGTGACAACATTTGTGCATTTCAAAGATGGATTATATCTCCCAAGCCCAGGTTTACAGGAAAGCATCGCAGGCAAAACACATCTTGCAGAGCATCAAAGCTCAAACTGCCGAATCGAGTAGGCTGGACAGAAGTGCCGTTGAAAGCAGTAGCTTTTCCGTCAAAGCTTCGAGCTTCCTAATACTGTAAGGTCTGTGGGTAGAAATGGTGGGTGGTGGTCGGTGCATCGCAAGCCTGTCGAGTCGAAATGCAGGGCCCGGCGTGACCTTCAGAACTCCACGCAAACATTCATGTACACAACTTCAAGCTGACATGAACGTATACCGTCTATTGTTGAAAGTAACGTAAAGTGATACGTAGTACTACAGCCATGAAACATCGTCATTGACAAACAGCTTGAACCCCAGAATACCAGATAATAACGCCTATTACACCGCCGCTCACACCATTACGCCATTACACACTATTGCCTTCCATGAGGATAGTGAAAACCCAGAACGCGTAAAAGAATCATCGCGACAAGTCAGCCACCGTCTATGCCATCTACAACAACCAAACAAAAGTATACCTCCTCTTACTTCTTCTTGAGCGCGTTCGTGAGATGGTCAAACGGGTGCTTGAGGAGGTGCGCACTGTTCCGCCGCTTCTTCTCCTTGTCCTCGCGCTCCTTCTGGAGGGCCGGGTATTTGTCCACGCCGACTGGTACACGCGCTCATGTCAGTCAAGAATCTTGGAATTACATGACTGTACATTTGCTGCCGCCAGCGGGCTCACCAGGGTTCTGGGACCGCTCCACCTCCGCAATCATAAGCTCAAAGGCCTTTTGTACGTTCTCGTTGTAGCGCGCGCTGGCTTCGGTGTGGGCGCATTTGAACTCGGCGGCGAGGGCTTTGCCGTCTTCAGGCGTGACTTGGCGTTGTTCGGGACGCAGGTCAGACTTATTGCCCACGATGACGAGGGGAACCCATTCGACGGCCTAGTGTGAGGGGTGGTTAGGCAGTGGCGCGGAGCGTGTCACATGTCAGACTCACAAGGTGGTTCAGGATCTTATCGCGAATGATGCGCGCCATCTCAAAGCTCTGTTTGTTGGCAACCGAGTAGACAATCATGTAGCCATGAATGCCGATAAAGTGCTTGGAGTTGAGAATGCTGTATTCATCCTGGAAGGCGGTACCCGAGTCAGCGGGTGCTCAGTAACAGCTTGAGGTGCACGGCATGGCATGCTCAGCAGAGACGCGCGTGAAGCATCACAGGTGGGGCGTCGACCTGGGCTGAGCTTCGCGACGCGGGGGAAAAGAAAACCTCATGTACCTGGCCAGCCGTATCGATGATCTCAGTCGCATAGTCCTGGTTCTTGTACTTGATCATCTTGCTGAAAGTATTCTCGATGGTCGGGTAGTAGCTGTCGACAAAGTGCCCGTCGACGAATTGCACCGTCAGACTCGACTTGCCTGTGCACCCTCGCGTCAGTATGCTGTTTGTTGGTACTTGCATGTGAAGCCTGCGCGAGCTTCGGGCAACCACGTACCGACGGCTCTGCTGCCGACAATGGCCACCTTTCTCTGCTTGGGAGGGGGCGCCATCTTGCTGCTGGGTTTGGGAAGAGGTCGTGAGGAAGCTGAACGACTCGCCAGGTTTGAGGTTTGGCTGTCTCAGTCCACCGCTGCGATGTAGCTGCCTAGGTTGCGTTTGGTGCTTCGGACCTGCCAATTGCCTGTAGGAGCTAGCTTCCAGCCCGGAATGACGCCGTCTAGCTGCAGGTGATGGGTGCGTGTGGCACGAACAAGCTGGTTCACTGGCCCGAGCGCTGTAGCTACTGTCGTGAGGATGTATGGTTCGAGGCAAACTTCGGCGAGCGTCGTGCCAGAGTTGTAGGTGAAGAGCAGGCGTTGCTCACGAAAAAAAGTCCCCGACCGGGTGCTGATGCCGTCATGTCTGCCGGCTCCCATCTCGATATAGCAGCAACGACTCGCGTCCGCATATGAAAGTTGGGCAACCATGATATATCGCTTTGGGTTTGGCACCGAGCAGCTGGTATTGGGTTCCGCAGTTCTGGCCATCCAAGCCGAACAGTGCACCCCGTAGCCGACGAATCCAGAGCTTCTCGAAGCATTCATTTACGTATTGCCAATCGTCTCGAGCCTAGCGCAAACCTGTCCAGCACACTACCTGCAGATACTCCATTCACCTACAACCACTCAGCGCCACAAGAACCTCCGAAATGTCAGAAACTATTGCTGCCCTTCCCGATGCCCCGAGCATACAACTTAGCCGAAATGATGTCGGGCGTTCTTGACTCAAGGCGAAACCATCACATGCAAGTCGTTGCAAAAGTGAAAAATGTTGCTCGCCCGGATATTACACGCCCGCTGCATGGAAGTTCTGTAGAAGGCATCTCGCAAATTGCCCCGACGGCAGAGCCACTCCACATGCCGGCTGTTGCGTCACTTGAGCCGGCCTTCTGGGTCGGGTGCAGCCTTACGGACGGGTACGTGCGAGGTTACAAGCCTTCATTTAGCCTCTACTGCCTACGCGATGGGAATACGAGCGGATAGCGGCGACGAATAGACGACATGTCGCTCAATCAGTATAAGCTTGCAGATTTCTCATATAACTGCTACGGGTCATTTGCTAGCCTGAAGAGCCTCGCTGCACGACCGTTACTATCCACATCTCTGTCCAAGATGCTGGGGTATCGAAATCTTTATATACAATACAAGCGATCCCTTCCCAGCAATGACCGCATACGCGTAATTCGGGGTATCATGCCATAGCCGTTAAAGGCCTAACCAATAAGAACCTACCTGTCAAGAGGGAAACGACTTGCTGCCCAATGGTAAACGACCCGAGAGATAATCAAGTAAAGGCAAAGTGCGTCTGATCAGTAATAAATCAATGCCCAGGCGGGATACCGGAGTCAAGCCTCTGCATCTCTGCACCATCAAGTGCTCGCATTCTGCAACCGTTCCACGACAAGCATGAGGCGCGCCGTGTAGGACTGCAAAGCCTCTTGACCCTCTGCTCCCTCAAGATTTCCTGCCTTCTGGTCAACATGTTGGTGCACACGGACAAATTCCTTGATGCTATCGACAAGGGTGTCAAGTCGCTTGTTCGGTAGCAGCTTGCGGACCTTTGCCCTTATCTGGTCGTTGAGACTCAGATTCCCAAGGAGCACGGCAAGATATCCGATGGCTACACCAGAATGCGATTCTTCCACAGAAGCAGCCTAAAGCAGGGTTAGCATTATTGAAAGCATGACTTCTGAACGCGTACGTACCTGTGAAGCACGCTTTGATCCCTCCAGGAAGATGGCGACCAGAGCGTCAATCTGATCAGCGACGTTAAGCCTCATCTCGTCGCTCAGCTCCGCAAGATTGATGGAAGCACCCAAGCTCAAGATGAGACTATCCAAAACCTCTGTCCGCTTTTCCGTCGCGAGCCCCGTACTGATTGACTCAAACTTTCTAATGATAGATTGCGTCAATGGCTGCACAAAAGCCATGGCTGAGAACGGCTGGCAAGCTTTCGGCTTGTTGTTCGTCAAGTTCATACATAGCTTGACAGCGAGCATAGTTGATGCAGCGCTGTCAGGCTGGAAGAACCGAGGCATAAAGCCCGCAATACGCTGAAGCACACCAGTCGGCCAGGAGGCTTGGATCTGCCTTGTGGCAGAAATTGACTCCAGTATGGAAAGTACTGTTTCCAGGCATACTTTGTCCGCGCTTCCCTCCTTGCCCGATTGCAACCGGTCATTCGATTTCGAAGCAATCTCAACGAGCTGGGAGATCATCGTCTGATCAAGTAGCCTATCAGCATTGCCAGCCTTCCGCATACCAATGATGAGCAGCTCGATAGCTTTCAGAGCGACAAGCTGGGGAGATATCTTCTGTACTATGCTGGATGACCAGATAGAGCTTTGCTGGACTAGGGTGCGAAACGTGAATACCGATTCCTTAGCAATCTTTGACATGTTCGACTTGCGATCTTTGGCGATCTCCTTGATATCCGCATCATTGCTGGCTAGCTCGATCAAGTGTGCGAAACTGCCGGTCTCCTGCAACTCGTCTAGGACAGAGTGGGTAGGGTTGGTACGGAGGATAAATACTGTGGCGACGGCAGCGACAAAGTCGAAGATAATCTCGCGACCGCCAGCGATGTTCTGGAAGAACTGATGGGCCAGAGCCGAGTCGACAAGCTGATGACAGAACGTCTCATCGGCCATCTTGGTGCACAGATCGATCATTGCGCTACGCCTCATACTCTTACTGTTGGTAACGGATATGTCTCCGATCATCATTTCGATCTCATATCCGATGATCATGTTACGCCCCCGTGTCTTGAGCTCGTGAATTTGTTGAGCCTGTGCTTGACTGTTCTGCTCGGGGTCATCCTCGGATACAGATCTGGTATCCATCTGGGACTGAGACCCAAAGCCATCGTCTAGATCCATCGAGATCAGTAGGTCATCCTCTGGATTGTCTTCCTTTAGGTACGACCGCGCCATTGCGTAAGTGAGCTTTGGACGCATGCCGAAACCAGACGTTGTCTGCGATGTTTGTGACTCCGCGTTTGCTTGCTTGTCCACATCCATGTCGTCAGAGGACGTCGTCGAAGCTTGATCTTTTCCGACTTCTCGTACAGATCTTCTTGCAGACGTAGGATGCTTTGAGCTTGCCTCCGACTCTTCTCCACCATCGCTGCTGCTGTCTTCTTCGTCATCGTCCGAGCTAGTCTCGGTTGGTTTAAGAGTGTCAATGAGTCTAGTCCTACGGGCCTTGGCACTATGAGTGACATCAGACTTTGATCTTGCCAGGTTACCGATGAGTGATCTCGATTTGCGATCCGTCAGCTGTAAGTTCGCCAGGCTTGGCATTGGTGTAGCAGAGGACGATGAATCGCTTAGCAAGCCGCTGAAGAGATCCCTCTGTCGCGGTGTCACGGAGCCAGGTACGACAGGTCTGGATTTCCGAACAGGGGTGGTCAACGGATCTGGTATGTCATACATAGTCTCGTCTTCCATCTCAGGCACGTCTGGGATTTTCTTGACAGGAGATGGCCTGGGGGCCTGGCGATTCGGTATCATGCCGCTCAGAGTAGCAGGAGAGGACTGGCCCTTGACCATCTTTCGCGGTGCCATGACGGGTACGGTACGTTGCCTCGTCCTTGTCGGTTTGTTGAGTGCCAGCGCTGGCGGTTGCGTTTTCCGTGTTGCGCCTGCGACGGGCTGCAATAGTGATGCATGCCCCGGTGAAGCACTTTCTTCGTTCTTCTGAACCTTCCGGCTCCGCTGATGCGCCGTCTGTTCAGTCGTCTGTTGTACCACTGGCGTAGCCACTGTGGCAGTGGACGACATAGACCCTTTGCGCTTTCGCTTGTTCGATGCATTCGACTCGTCCGACTCGGTAGTGTCCTTGTGAGACTCTTCCGATGTTGTCTTGGACTTCCCGGGAGGCTCTTTATGTGCTGTCTGCGGAGCTTGACGTGAGATCTTTTTGACAGTTGGCGGAGCCTCTTCGTCCGACATCGGTATATCGAACACAGCGAGGTCATCGGTCGGTTTGGCAAGAGCTTTTCCTGCCGTCTTTTTCGCAGGTAGTGCCGAGGTTATCTTCGCATTCTTCTGAGCCTTGGTAGCTGTCGGCGCAACGGCCGTCGTCTCGGAAGACGCCTTTGCCTTGGCCACCGGCCTCTGTGATGACTCCGGGTCCCTTGCCGTCTGTTTCTGTGCTCCCACAGGCTGAGGCGTCTTCCCGCGTAGTGTCCGAGGTGCGATCGTATCCGAGGATGGCGGTGGCGGTGCCTGTGCGGGCGTTGGCAGCGTCTTCTTTACGGTGGCAGTATTCGCATCGTCAGGCTTGCGCAATGGCTGTGAAGCTTTTGCTGGCTTCTTGGATGCCACCACGGCCTCCCCTCTAGAAGAAGTTGAGGTTTCCAAGCCTGCTTCAGGTGCCCGACGTTTCGCTATTATCTTCTTCGCGGGCTTCGGGCGCGACAGGAAGTCGTCGTCGGAGGGCACATCGAAGACGTCGACATCGTCGGACCTTGCGCGCGCATTCTCCAGACCCGTGCTGGCCTTCAATGTGTCTCCGGCTTTCTTCAGCGAGCCGTTCACGGCTGCGGGATGTTTCCGCGGTCGGTCTGGGGATGGCGGCGCATCATCGTTGGAATCAGGAAGGGGCGGCGGCAGGGTGGAGCGACGCGCGGATTTGCCGTAGACTTTCTTGCGACGGTCGCCGGACGTGAAATTGGCGAACATGGTCGTGGCCATGTCGGTGCGTAGGCGTGTTGTGGTGACGCTCCCAAAGTTGGCTCAGACGCGCATCTCGCAGCAGGCGGGTGGCACCAGGGACCGTGGATGGCTTGTCTCGGCACCCGCTCTCATTCAGCTTGATAGCGTCGGTCCACGCGTTCGCTCACCGCAAACCTATTCTCTCATTGTCGCGACTTCATCATAGTCACAGTGAAATGCTCAAAGCGGCTGTTTGCATGGTGGCTGGTGATCCAAGCAGGGTCCCGAACGACAGGCACGCTAAACAGCGGGGCATGGGTTGCTCCTTCCCAAACAGAGTGAAGGACTTCGCCGACGGTCACGAGCCTAGACTGTTAGCCCACCTACGCTCCAGCTCCTCTTTCCTGCCTCTTATCTGGACATCGTATCCATTGATAAAAGTCTGCTCTATCGTTTGGTCTTGCTCTCACCTCCATCTCATTCTTACCACCCCACAATATCAAATTGTGTTCCAACACCACAAGCTCTACTCACACATTCACGCGCCGGTAAGCTCATTTTAGACTATGACTACGTTTACATATTCCCAAACGCTCCTGCTAGGATGCTGTGTCTTGGCTCTGAAACATTTCCATACTACCAGATTTCTGCTACGTGACCTTGACTGACCATCCTCAGCCTCTCCCTAACCATGTCTTCCGACTCGCATCCACCTTCCCAATCCCTGGGCCCCGAATACCGTCCCTCAAATCTGAAACCAACAGCTACCGTCTCAACTCCCCTCAAGCAGGCCAATGTCCACATCCTACCCCAATCCCCTCAGCTGATAGCATTGCTCACGTAAGAGCCCCGTGAACCATGACTAACACCATGGTCGGGCATCATTACCTCAACTAACAATCTCAAAGCATGATACGTGATCGCAATACCGGCCGCGCAGATTTTATCTTCTACAGCAACCGCATAATCCGTTTGCTTGTCGAAGAAGGTCTCAACCACCTGCCAACAGAGTCCCAGGAGATCACCACCCCAGTAGGGCGCACCTACTCCGGTGTCAAGTTCGAGGGCAAGATCTGTGGTGTCTCGATTATGCGTGCGGGAGAGTCTATGGAGCAGGGTTTGAGGGACTGCTGTAGGAGCGTACGTATTGGAAAGATTTTGATTCAGCGGGACGAGGAGACTAGTAAGCCGAAATTGTACTACGACAAGTTGCCCGAGGACATTGCCGACAGATGGGTCCTGTTGCTGGATCCTATGCTGGCTACTGGTAAGTACACAAGGCGTGTTTGCGTAAGCACTGCTGATGGAGATAGGTGGTTCGGCACTCATGGCGATCGATGTGCTCAAGTCGCGGGGCGTGCCAGAGGAGCACATTCTCTTCCTCAACCTCATTGCCAGCCCAGAAGGCGCACAAAACCTTGCGGATAAGTTCCCCAAGGTGAGGGTAGTCACTGCCTTTGTTGATGCGGGTCTGGACGAGAAGAAGTATGTTTACTCCCATCTCCTAACCGCTCCATACTAATATGAAGTGTAGCTACATTGTCCCTGGACTGGGTGACTTTGGTGACCGTTTCTACACCATGTAAAGCATTCAACAGCATCTCCGGTTCATCGATAGCATTTGCTGGGCGCAGGGCGGCTTAGGTTTAGTTGGGCATGTAGTAGCATGGTTTCGTTCAAAGAAAACCACATGATTATAGGCGTACCAGGGTCATTGATGTACACGCTTGATTACTGTGTACACTTCTACAGGCTGCGCTCAGCTAACCGTGAACACACTCAGCCTGACGCTGACGACGATAATGAAACGCCACCGTGAATCTGCGGACCCTTTTTGGTATCCTAAACGCCGTGCAAGCCATGATCCGCTCCCCATGTTCCCGTGTATTATACAAGGCCTGAAGCCTTCACGCCTGGTCGTCCTCGCGCGATGGCCCCTGGCGACTCAGTCCGCGTACTCGCCCTCAGCGTCAGGCTCGTCGTGTTCGATGAAGCCGCCGTCGCCGTCGTCGTCTTCTTGATTGTGCGCCGTCGGCATCCTGCCCATGCGATTTGTACTCCGCGCCGTCTCGACGCTGCCCTTGGCTGCCTCCTTCGCGACGGCGTCACACGCATCGATCCAGTCGGCGTACACGTCGACGGGCGCGCTGAGGTAGTTGATGTTGGTCTGGAAGGTCTGGCCGCAGACTTTACATTGCAGGTTGCCGACACCCGACTTCTTCTCGATGGAGACGCTGACGGACTTTTCGTGGTTGCAGAAGAGACATTGGAAGGTGGTCGGGAGTTTCTCCTTCTACAGGGGTGTTAGTTGGCGGGGCATCGGGAGGATAGGGTAGAGCCTGCCTTCTTGGGGCCTTGAGGCTTGCTGGAGGATTTGCGCTTGCCCTGTCATTGCTGTTAGTTTGCGCCTGCGATACCGTGAAGCCGGGAGGAACGCACCATTTTTCGCGTTGGTTAGAGTCGCCAGATGGGGAAGGTGTGTGTACACGTAATTATTAAGTAGCGATTGTGGTGGGGATCTCCAGAGCCGTGTTTGGTGCTTGTCGCGCCGGTGTCGTGTGCAGTGACGCGAAATCGCGAGTTTGGCTTGAATGCGTCTCGAGTCTCGCGTGGTTCCGACCGCCAAGATCCCTGTCGCTCCCTTGCAGCTGCCGCATACGTCGATAGCCGATAAGCGCCCCCGCTCCTATCAGCGCTCGCCGCGACCATCATGCACGTGTGTAGTCAGCTGTTCGCTGCTGCCACCGCCGGCGAGCTCCTAATATCTGACCACGTTGATCCTCCTCTTCCCTCTTTCTCCTCCTTCTCTGGATCTTTCTGGTCCCCTTTGACGTTTGTTCAAAGTTGTGTTTGTGACTCTGTCCGCTCCCCACTTCTACATCATCTTGCGTGTTCGTCCTACCACCGGAGCTCACCGGTCTTTGTTTCACGACTCGATACCAACGCAGCAATCGCGATTGCTATTTGCCTTTAAGATCAGAGATCCTGTACTACTTTGTATGAGGTTTTCCATTACCAAACATGTCTACTGAAAGCACCACCAGCGATGCTGTCCTCAAGGAGATTCTCGATGGGCTCAAGGCGCTCCGTTCGGAGAACTCCGTACTGGCAGCTTCAGTCGACAAGATCAACGGCCGTGTAAACATGCTGGCAGGCATCAAGCAAATCAAGGACGAGGCAGCAAGTGAAGCTGCCAATGGCAAGCTGGACGGCGAGAAGGCGAAGGAAGTTGAGCCAGAGAAGTCCGTAGAAGCTGTTAGCGAGCAGTATGAGCAGCCACCTTCAAATGCTGATGCCCAACCACGTCGCACGAGTGTATCCAAGATTTCAAAGATCATCTTGACTTCGTATCCCGGCCAAGCCGGTGTCGACCCGTTGCCAATGCAGTGGGGTGCCAAGGACCCTGCCGTTCGTGGCCCTGTCGTTGTGTCAAGACATGCGAACACTATCCGAAGACGTAACGGTACGTACATCTAAACGACTATACATTTAGTTTCTAACATTTCGTAGCTATCGGTGCTCATGGTGGCTCATACTCCATCTACAACGCCCTTGCTGTTGCCAGCAAGAATCTCGACATCACACACAAGCCAGACTTCACCAACACTGAACCTGCCGCAAAGATTGGTCCTTTCCCGCAATGGAGCGACCCAAAGAAGATCGTGGCCATGGACCCCTACGGCCATCTCGCACCCTGGCTGTACAAGGAAACCATGGATAAGGACGATGTTGAGATCAGACCTACCATTGCCATCACCAGAGCACACATGAAAGTGCCAGAACTTGAGGAGAGTGTAAGGAAAGGCAGGCTCGTTCCCGATGGCAAGATTTGTGTCAACGAGACTGGTGAGGTTGCGGTCACCAAGGTCGCAGTCGAGCCTGTATGGTACCTGCCTGGTGTTGCTGAGCGTTTCAACATTGGTAAGTGGGTCGAAACGCATTTCTGACTACATCCACTAACGTATTCGAAAGACGAGGGAACTTTGCGCAGGACACTGTTCGAAGAGACTGGTGGTTCCTACCCAGAGCTCATCACCCGTCACGACATCAAGCTCTTCCTTCCTCCTATTGGCGGTCTAACAGTCTACATCTTCGGTGACCCAGCAAAGATGTCCGACCCCAGCGCGAAGCTCGCTCTTCGTATCCACGACGAATGCAACGGAAGTGACGTATTCGGATCTGACATCTGCACATGCCGCCCCTACCTGACTTTCGGTATTGAAGAAGCAGTCAAAGAGGCCCAGAAGGGTGGCAGCGGTGTTGTCATCTACTTCCGCAAGGAAGGCCGTGCTCTGGGTGAGGTCACAAAATACCTCGTCTACAACGCCAGAAAGCGAGGCGAAGACCGTGCCAGCGAGTACTTCAAGCGCACCGAGAACATTGCCGGTGTCAAGGACATGCGCTTCCAGGCTCTGATGCCAGATATCCTGCACTGGCTGGGTATCACCAAGATCGACAGGATGCTCAGCATGTCCAACATGAAGCACGATGCTATTGTCGATCAAGGCATTCCTATCCATGAGCGTGTACCCATTCCCGACGATATGATCCCGGCGGATAGTCGTGTCGAGATTGATGCTAAGATTCAAGCTGGCTACTGTATGTTTTTATTCCCTTTTAATGCTCTGGGCAACTACTAACAGGATGTCGCAGTCACAACTGGCCATGTTATGTCGATGGACGAGTTGGCAAACGTAAAGGGTCGTGGTTGGGACGATGTCGACGTAAGTGCAACTGGTGACTCCTCACGATCTCATGCTGACCCCAACCTAGCATTGAAGAACTTGGATGATATGAACGAGGTGACATGTTGTAGGAGTAAACCACCATTAGTGGTACAGTGCGAATTGCCTATGTCGACATGTGATGATAGTACATACAAAGAACTGCCCTGTCCAAACACAACAAATCATGCCACTTCAAACTACTTCACTTTTGATCGTGCTTATATGTTTACTGTATCACCTCTATGTTATGATTGATTTGATACTTCTACCACCATCTTCACGTGCAGATAGCAATAGCCAAGCCACCGTCCA